CCCGTTTCGAATCTTTCTTGTTCTTTCTGTCTGTCTGTGAGTCTTTCTTTTCTCCTTCCTTCCCTTCCCCTTCCCTTCCCTTCCCCTTCCCCTTCCTTTCCCCCTCCTTTCCCCTTCCTTTCCCCTTCCTTTCCCCTTCTTTCGTGTTTGTCTTTCTTTCCTGTTTGTTTTTTTGCTTTCTTTTCTTTCTTTGTTTCCTTCTTTCTGTCTGTTCTCTTTCTTTCTGTCTGTTCTCTTTCTTTCCTTCCTTCTTTCCTCCTTTCTTTCTTTCTGTCGGTCTGTCTTTCTTTCCTTTACTTGCCTTGCCTTCCTTCTTTTCCATTCCCTTCCCTTCCCTTCCCTTCCCTTCCCTTCCCTTCCCTTCCCTTCCCTTCCCTTCCCTTCCCTTCCCTTCCCTTCCCTTCCCTTCCCCTCCCTTCCCTTCCCTTCCCCTCCCTTCCTTCCTTCCTTCCTTCCTTCCTTCCTTCCTTCCTTCCTTCCTTCCTTCCTTCTCTTCCTTCTCTTCCTTCTCTTCCTTCTCTTCCTTCTCTTCCTTCTCTTCCTTCTCTTCCTTCTCTTCCTTCTCTTCCTTCTCTTTCTTTCTTTCTTTCTTTCTTTCTTTCTTTCTTTCTTTCTTTCTTTCTTTCTTTCTCTCTCTCTCTTTCCTTCCTCCTTCCTTCCTTCCTTCCTTCCTTCTTTCCTTCCTTCCTTCCTTCCATCCATCCATCCATCCATCCATCCATCCATCCATTCCATACCGGGATGTTCAACATGTAATATGGGGCTTGGAAAGCAGCACGCGCATCCATAGTTGCCAGCCCCCAGAAGCCCCAGCGTTTGCCTCTAGACCTCTCTCCCTTTCTGCGGTTTCTTGGATCCGTCAGGGAGGCACCGGGGCCACTTCTAGCCAGCTTGTTGCTGGTGCTTTGACGCATGCGCTGTTCATGTCGATGCCACATGGCGACTTTCAGCTAGCTGTCTTCGATGGGTTGTAGAAGGGGGGAAGCGCAAATTCTACAAGCAGGATCGTCCGTTTCGCAACCTCGGTTCGGGAGGCATTTTGTCACTAAATTCCTGTACTGCGGGGTGAATGTGGTGATGGAAGGCATTGCGGCGGAAATGACAGCACTCGCACGAACCACCTCCTACGGCTGGCCCATGCTGGCCCTTTTGCGGTAGGGGGGGCTCCTCAGTTCCAAGAAGCACTTGCATTGGGCGTGTCGTGGGGCTGGTGATCAAGCGTCAACCCCATTCAAACCGGTAAGAACCATGACAACATTTGAGCCATTGCTCGAAAAAGCTGGACTTGCTGAGCAAAAACACGAGCATCGACAGCGTTTCATTCTGTCAAGCACAGGTTTCGTCCCAGTTGAAATCATGGATAATTGCTTCAGTAACATGTGCTAGGTTGTTTTGTTTGTTGGGTACGACCTTGAATATTTTTTTTCCTGAGCATGCCCACTGAACTAGCACCAAGTTGAGCTTTGGCCGGCCTCCAGCTCGGCCAAGTTGCCAACTTTGGGCTGCCCGCAGTCGCTGGGCTGGTGTCGCATGTGGCCGAATTGGCCCCTAGGCCTTTTGGACAACATGACTTGTCCGTTAAACCTGCAGAAGGTCGCAGGATGCTCAGGGAGAGCCACCCGGTTCAAGGGGATGTTCGCTCAGGCCGGTGGATCCCAAGAAGTCCAAGCCAGCGGAGCCGGAGTGGCTGGGGCCGAGGGTGCCATTGCCTCTCAGCCAGAAGCAAGTTAGCTTGTTGCAGGGGAGGCTGGCCCTGTCTGCAGCGTGTGAGGGTTGGACTGGGGGTGATGTGTCGATCTGCCCATTTCTTCATCTTAGTGTTCGGATGGCCAGGGGAACTTCCAGTGACCAGGAAGCTCGTGGGCCAAGTCCACCTGTTTCGGTCTGGGAGTTCAGGCACTCGAGTGGCACCCGATGTCAGGCCGGACAAGCCCAGGCCGGCGGAGTGGCCGGACTGGGCGGAGAGGGAGAGGCGGGGCCGAGAAAGCCGAGGGCCACGCACGAGAGCTCGGCGGGGGAGAAAAAAAAAGGGGGCAACATGCCGACAAGCTCGCCATGAGCTGGGCGGCATGTTTTGGGAGAGCTTCCTGATTTTGAGGTTGTTCTTGGAGAAAGCAAAGGGAAGGTGGTTCTGGGTGCACCCCCATGAGACAAACCTATGTTCCTTCACTTCAAGACTTGAAGATCCAAGTCTTATGTGCAGAATTTGCAGATCCACAGTTCCAGGATTGTTCCATGTTCCCGGAGGTTCGAGGGATGTTAGGAATACTCCTTGGGCCTTTTTTTGCGTGTGCGGATGGAATTTGCATCGGTAGAATTGGTTGATCCAGCTTCGAGAGGGCAACAAGGGCTTTCAGCAGCCAGGATGGCCTGCCCAAGCTGAAGCACGCAAGGGGATCAATCTCTTGCGGAATTGGATGGCAGGTGGAGTGGCTGTGTGTAAGGCAAAGCATGTAAGCTGCGTTCATTGTATACTTGCGTTGTTTGTTGGTCATTTGTGGCATGTAGTGAAACAATCCGAATGGCAATCACCATAATTGCATGGCTGTGGGTCCAAATGAATGGTACCATTTCGGAGTAGGTGCACCAGCCATTTTTTGTCTATTTCAGTGGGGATGGGGTTCACTGGGGGTACAATTTGGATTTTGATCCATGGCCGCATTGATTTGTTAGCCAGCAGCGTCTCCTGCACTGGCGACAAGCAAAGCGGTTTCAAGTGGCCTTTGGGGCCCATGCCCAAGGCGCTCGACTCCGGTCGCCACGCGCTTAGAAACTGGGCGTTCAGCGGCGCTGGCTTGAGCTGTGCATTTGGCAAAGCAAAGCGATGGGCTCTGTCTTGCAGAAAGCTCCCACAGCTGCAGATTTACATGGAAGATCTGCAGGGGGCTCCGGAAACCTGCGGTTACCCCTCTATTTTTTTTGTCAGGGTGAGTTTCCCGGCAGAAAGCATGTTTGTGCCCTTTTGGGTGGGTGCAATGTACTGTGAAGTCGGGCAAGCATCCCGCGGCAAGTTGATCTTTGAGAAGTGGCAGGGCTGTTTGCCATGCAAAGCCGGCCCTGAGACATGTGTCATTTGTTTTCATTGACCTACTGGAGGCAGTCTGCCCCAAACCTGCCCCCGCCGCCTTTCAGGCACCTACCCCAGTTCAGCTGCCGGACAGCACCGTGCCGGTGGTGGCCGAGTTCCTCCAGCAGCGCATTCCGAAGCTCGGCCCGCCTCGCAGCACGTCACAGGGCCTTTGTGGCCCCTGTGAACTGCAGGATGTTGGGACCGTTCGCATCGGAGGCTCGGAGGCGGGTTCTTGGAAGTTAAGCCCCAGCCAGGCTTTGAGCGTAAGCTGTCGTCAGTCAGCAGTAGGATCAGTGCTTGGTCCAGCTGGATGGCTACTGCTTCAGAGCCAGGACGCACTTGTGAGCATCTGGCACGACCCCCCAGTTTGCGGGTTAACCGGGTTAACTAAACAACACTTAGCTCTTGGGTAATTTGGCCCAAAGAGGCAACCTGTCAACCCCTTTAGACTGCCGCGGGCCCGTGTAGCAGTCTATGGGCCCAGCCTTGGACTTGCAATTCGTCGGGCATATCCACCTGACCGTTGATGTTCCCCTTGGTTGTGAATTCACACCACCCCCCAACCAACGAGCCGCAAGCTGACTTCGGGCCTGGCTGACCGCTGAGCCACTGACCCGCAAGCCCTTGGGCTCGAGAATGGTGACCAAGAATCAAGCAGGGATCCCCTACAGTTTTCCATATTTCTGGACCTCCACCCTGTTCGAACCCTGTCAAGCAGGCTGTTGCCAGCTATGTGGGAGCAGAAGCTGGCTGGAAAACCACAAAGAAGCTGCGCCAGATACGGCCAATTTGTTTCCTAGCAGAGGCGCTCGGCGCTTTGTGGATCATTTGTGCCGATGAATGCGTCCTCATACGTGCACCAGCAGCCACTTGTCAAGAGCAATGCATGTTCGCTGCAGGGTGCGGGGTTCAAAAATCAAATGCCATCTACTCTACACAGGTGCTGCCTTGACTCGCAACCATGGCGGCGAGCCAATGCCGTCGTGCCGCGCGGGGGCCACGCTGGCTGGTCATCTTGGCAGGAGCGGGCGGGTGGGAAGGTCATTTTGAGATGATCTTACACTTGGCACCTCTTTTGACATCATTTTACTTACATTGCAAGGCTCATTTCGTTGTTCGGGATGGTTTCAAAGGGACACCCCAGGGACATTCAAGGGACACCGTTCAGTTTGCGGTTCCCACGTTTTGAGGCACACGCAGGGGACGTGCAGCAAAAGCAGAACCAGCTGGAGCGATTGTTCGGTCCAACCCGCCACTCGCAGGTTGCTGCGTTCAGCCTTGCTTCGTGAACTCGCACCTTGCCTCATGGAATCCGGACCCAATTGCTGGCTGAGGAGCTGGGGTATCCGAAAATTTTGCTTAGGAGGGAATGCAGAATTACAAAGAAAGTCCACATTGGTGGGACTGGTTTTTATAATTATTCCCATGCATCCCTCACGAGCCCTCTGCCTAATGGGTTTCAGGCAACGATGGGGCATTTGTCGAGCCGCATCATGGGACTTGCGTTTTGGACGGTGTTTCAGATCACCACTTGAGCACGTGTCAAAATAGGAGGCCATTTGGCTGCCTAAACAGGGTACCCTCAAAAACTTCATTTTGTTTGCCATTTCGAGGTGGGATCCCCTTGGCAGGGTGATGCAATTACGACAGGAACCCCCAGCTGCCGGGACCTGGTGGTGCCAAACTTTGGAGTCAACATCTGAGCTTGCAGAGCTGGCCATACTGTGTTGTAGAAAAATGGCTGTGGGTCAAAACCAATGGGATCCCGTTTTGGAGTAGGTGCACCACCCATTTTAGAACCTATTTTAGTGGGGATTGGCATGTTCACTGGGGGTACGGGAAATTGACCCATGGCCAAATGGTCCCCCAGCCTAAGTGGACCAGTCGCATTCTGTCCTATCCGCCAGAGTTTTGGACATGGAGCTAGGACGGCCTGCTCGGTGATGAACGGAGGAGGACCAAATCTCCACCCCTGACCCACGTACAGACGGCTCATGTGTTGCCTTGGCCTTTGGTAGGGCTAGATGAATGTGCACTGAAGTCTTCCCACAGTGCCCACAGGTTCTTTCTTTGCAACTGGGAATCAGAAAGATAGACAGTGCCTTTGGGCGTCCATCTTCGACCTCGGGAAGTCCATTGCACGCCCCAGCGGAACTGAGGCTCCTTAAAAGATACATGTTGCTTTCCACCAAAATAAGGGGAACCCACCATTTACAAGGCACGGTTCAGTTGTATAATGTAAGGATCCCTGCATCCCAACCCTGGCTCCTTCTCGGTGCCGCGTCTGAAGGCCATGTGACCCTCGACGCCCAGCGCGGGCGTCGAAAGCGCCCGCGGTGCGAGCCCTGGGCACTGCGGAGGCGGAAGCAGACCTGGCACTTGGGGCCCCCAAGGCTGCTGCGGACTTGGGGCCCCCAAGGCTGCGGAAGGCTCAAGCCCATCTAAGGTCGAGAAAGTGATTGGAAGGATGCCCAATTTAGAAGACTTCGAAAGAGTATCGGCGCAAGCATGAGGCTTTTTGTGGCTATCATTGAAGCCAAAGGCCCCCTGAGAGCGTACAGCCTCGTCGAAAGGTCAAAAAAGGCAACCCTTCGCTGAATGAATTGCCACGAAGAAGTGGTGCAAAAGCTCCACGGCAATCGTGCCCACGCCTTGATTCCAGTCGCTAATAGGATCGGGCCTTCAGCGATTGCCTGGAGCACAACTGCAATACCTGGCGGTGGTTTTTGGAGATAAAGGAAGCCTGCCTGGGTCCACGTAAGAAGAACGCAAGGGGCCTATTTTCTAGGGGTTGATTCCCCATTGTTTCTTGGGGTTGATCCCCCCTCCGGCGTGCAAAGAATGGACTTAGAAACTTCCCCTAGATACCTTCCCCAGAGTTAGCTCCCCTTTTTGTGTTTTTGTTGCTTTTTTTGGATCCTTCTTGCGTTCCACTAGCCAAGGCATTATTTTTTGCTGGGGTCCTAGTTCCAGATAAGATACCAGATACTTGGCTGCAATACCTGGCTGTGTTTTTTGGGATATAAAAGAACCCTTTAAAAAAACCGCCAGGGGCCTACCTTGGGAGGTCCAGTGGGCGTGTCTCATGGCAGGCCCTGGCGGCCGCTGCGCCCCTGGCCCCGGCCATCCTCGGCGTCTTCGGCGGCGCCATGGCCGCCTCCGCCGCGCAGCTGGCGCGGGCCGCGGGGCCGGCGGAAGCGGCGGGAGCGGCGGCGGAGTCGGGCGGGTTCTTCGGGGAGCAGCGGTGGAGCGGCAGGCAGAGGGAGTTGCGTGGGTGGCACCTGGGGTCTCCAACAATGTTTTAATAGTGTGAGTCACTTCAAGCCAGTTTTTGGGACCCTCCCTAGCCTAGTGAGAACACCGATCAGATTGTTCTCTCCCAAGTGTCGTATTGCTTTCGTTGTGGCTTGGCACTTGGTGTGCTCGTGTCAGACGTCAGGACTTCCTCGAGAACTGGCTTTCTCAGATGGGCTGGCTAGGATCAGACGCAGAGAGCTAGGTTTTTGAAGAAGGAAACGGCGTAGCAGTCTCAGGCTGTTTTTGCAGCATGCCTGGGGCACGTTGCACAATTGGGTACCCCTTGTTTCATTTCTAGTTTGAGTGTTTGGGGCAGCCTCGTAGTACCCACCCCCTTGGAAATGTGTTGCCGAAGCACTTCTATATACTGATGGTACTGACGGCCATCGAAGGGTTGGAGCATAGCTGGATCCGCAATTTTCCAGACAAGCCAATATCTTGTATTTGGTACCCTTTCATTAGTGGGGTACTGACATTATCTTTCAGGGTAGGCGACCGGAACTGTTCTGGGCGTACCCTGAGGGTTTGGCCAAGGTATTGGGAAACTCGGATTTGATGGGCTGTTCCCACTCATGTAGGGGAATCCTCTCGAGCAAAAAACGTGTGGCTTCCCTTTTAACCTATCTTCCATTTGCTGAAGAATTAGCTTGTTTTTTTCCCCTGTTGGTTTTAAAGGGAATCTATCACTACTGGACATATTTTTCTTCTTTTCCAGGGGACTTAAGCAAATGGAAGCAATTCAACAAAGGGAGAAGTCTGTAGTGGAATATCTCATCACCGAAGCAAACCCCCGGCGAAACCGCCAACCAGGACGCTGGGGGTGGTAGGGGCCTGGCTGCTGCTGCTGTGCTACGCGCTCTTCCTGGCGCCGGGGAAGGACCCCGAAGCGACGCTCGCGGACCAGGTGGGGACGGGTCTGGTTGGCGGGGGGGTTGGGGTCGTTTAACTCCCCAGGAAGTTGGTACCCCCATCGGTTGAGATGTAATATGGGATTCGGCTTTTGGGATTTGGGATTTTGTTTTTGGGATTTGGGATTTGCTTGGTTGAGAGGGGGGGTTTGGGGTTCGGGTGTGGCGCCCTTGGGAGTCGGTGGTTGCCCAAAGCCGAACTCTTTGTTGGGGTTAACGGGGAAAGGGGGTTGCGCCCGCAGGCACTTCTGACGCAGATCCTATCGACGCCCTTCGATGGATCTGTGAGCCCACTCTTCGTGTGCATCTTCAACATGCTCGGCCCGGTGCTTGGCGTGTTGTTGTTCTTATTATTCTTGTGCCTCTTCTTATCACCATCAGTATAGTACCGTTATTGTTATGATTGTTATTCTTAGGCTCTACACACATGTGCGTGTATTCACAAAACGTATATATATATATATGTATGTATGTGTGTGTGCATGTGTATATATATATATATATTTATATATATAGTACACACATATATATATACACACATGCGTTCACATGCACATGACATGTACTAAATAAAGAAACCACATGTCCATTTTCTTTTGGCGGCAGGGCGCCTGCCGCAAGCCGACTAAGCCGCCAGGATGGACAGTGACTTCAGCGGAGTGGGAACTTGCAAAGTCCCACTTGTTCAGTGCTCGCTTGGTCTGGTTCCCCTATCGACTTTAAAAATATATATTGGCGGGACTGGTTTTTCTTTGGGTTTCCCTTTAACGCCACCAGACAAGGGGTACGCTCAAGCAGGGAAGCCCGGCAGGTCAGCTGAGCTTTTGGGTCATCCCCTAAGTGGACCCGTCCCTGAGGCATTTGGCCGGCGATCTACGCCGCCACTTTGCTGCCGGGCGCGGCGCGGCAGTCGCCCGTGCCGGCGTATCCGCCCCTCAGCCCAGCTTTTGGTTCTTTTATTTTTCCCCCGGGGGGGAGATCCAGCGAAGTCCAGCTGCAAAGGAAGATGGATCCCCTCAAGCCATTTAGGATAGTCATCACGACAGTTGATGCAGTTCCCGCCCATTTTGATTCGGGTTCAGTTTATCATGTTTCGCTTTGCCGGGTGGAGGGAGCTTGCTTTGGCCTGGTGGGCAGACATTCGGAGCAGCCGTGTTTTGCATGGCTGGCAAGGGCGAGACAACGTGAACCAACCAAATGAAAGCCAAACGAGACAGACCAAATCAAGGCCAGCCGATAAACCACAGGCGTCAAGCGAAGCCATCAGGGAGAGCAACGCGCTTGGATGCTCCATCCACTTTGTAAGCTAGTTGTGACCACAACTATAACAGGGGACACTGGGTTTATTTCTCTCATAAGCCCTGGTTGTAACCCGCTTACTAAGCGGGTTGAGCTTTCAAGCAGAGCTGCTGAGGTTTGTTTTCGCCTCCTTCTTCCTTGGGGCTTTTGCCCTGAGCCCCTACCTGGCACTCCGCGAGTACCGTGGGAAGCAAGGCGCGGAGTGGCGCGATGTCTGGCCCCCGCCCCAAATGGAAGCTGACTGCCTGGGTGTTCATGCCGCTTAAGGTTATTTCACCATGGTAAGAGAACCAACCCCAGTTACCCCAGCTATAAGAAATATGCTTATGTACATGTAAATGTCCTGGAAGATACGCTTTCCTGTCAGGGCTGTCCACTGAAGAGGGTTAGACTTTCTCAGAGGAGAATTAAGGGACGGAGGTTTCCCGACATCATTGTTCTTTTGCGTGCCCGGACTTCTTTAAGGGAGGATGTTTGTTTCGATCTACTGCTAATATTGGGGCGCTTCCTGGAGTGGGGTGTCCTCAATTTCTGTTGACCTGTGCCATCAAACACGGAGCCCGCTCCTTCTTTCCAAGCAAAACAACACTATGATGATACATACTTGCTTCGAACATACACGCCTTTTTTTTGGTGTGTGGGTGTGTGGGGGGGGGGGGGGGGTTTGCCCTGTCAACCAGAGGAAAACCGCACCTTCCCCTGCCCAGTCGCCAGTCGCCAGGCGAGTCCGGAGACCTGGACTGGTTCACTTCCAACCTGCTGGAGCCGCAAAAACAATCGACGTGGGGCGTGTTTTTTTTCTTTTCAGGGTGCCCCCTTGTTTTTGGGTGGGTTTAAAGGGAAGCCAAAAAAAACAAAACAACCACCATAGAAATATGTTTTTGTTTGGGGGGGGGGTACATTTTTTTTGCATTTTTGGCATGCTACAGTCAGTTCTACTGAGAGGGTTGAGCAATCCAAGGGAAACCGTCCAGAACGGTTCCGACCCCGGCTTTAAGTAGCCCTGAAAAGTGATTCGGGTTCCTCTAGAATGGGATGCCCACCAGTCAAAATGATAACAAGGGGAGAATGAATCCTAAGTGGGAACTACCCTAAGGGTCCGTTTGTGTGTGCACCAAGCCATGTCTGTGGGAGGGAATAGCCCGCCAGAGGTTCAGTTTCCATGTCCGGGCCTCTTTGTGTGGCAGTTTAGTTTAACCCTCCAGATTGCAATTGGTGCATGGGAAATCCAGAGCCCTGCAGCCACTGATTATAAAGGTACAATGATCGATTCCCTTGTTGTTTCCTTTGGGAAGGGCCGTTTCCTCATTTGCCAAACTTGACCCGGAAACAGATAAGAGTTCTCTTCTTAAGAAGGAGCCTCATAGGAGGCCCCTTCACAAGCAAATGTGCACATGTATGTTGGGCTATTTGCACCCACTGTCACTCCTCTTGCGGCCGAACCCCCCCAACGCGCTTTGGCACCCAGTGAAGGAGCCCAAGGCTTTTTTTTCTTTTTTGTTTCCTCTTTTTTCTGGGGAATCACCCCCTTCGCATTTTCCACATGGGCGTTTTCAGGGGACCCACCAAATGGTGGGTTTCCCGTTGGTTTTCCTTTCACAAAGAAGGGGTAGAAAAAAGACAGATCTGAATAAATCCTGGCTGTTGACCATTCCGGGTTCCTTCCCATTCCGGGCGTAAAAGGATAGAGGAAACAAAACAACCTTGCAGGAGAGCCCGGTGACGGGGTTGCTGCTCCTGGCTGGCGCGGTGTACCTCGTGCTCTTCGCGCTGGGCGTCTGGGCAAGCATGCGCGGTTTTAGGGTCCGGGTGGGCCTTGCCCGAATGGTCCAGTTGCTTGGCTTTGGAGGACCCTTGGCCCTTCAGATGTTGTGGAAGCCAATTGCGCTTCCTGGCTTCATACCGGCGATCCGCATGATCCTTCTGGCGCCCCGAAAGGGTTTGATTGTGAGTGGGGTGGTTCGTCAATAAGGGTGACAGGCTGACCCTCCTCCCATGAGCCCGTTCAGCGGGTGCGCTGGCTACGGGGAACTTTGGAACCCCAAGGTGGCTCGATTTGTTAGACACCGCTTTGTGTTGTAGCCCTGGTCTGTTAGCCCCACACTGACGGTGGAACCTCAATATAGTGACTGGGCGGCAGATGTTCCTGTCAAAGGGTTCCAGGTGATCTATTATTTCAAGTTCCAATGGTAAGCAAATGAGGGAATGGCCGTTGTCTGACAACAAGTTTGGGGTTCAATTGTACTTGCGAGGGTGAATTCGACTACAGCACATTTTCTTTCTGTTTTTTGACGTCTTTTCTGATTAGTAACTTTGTGTTTCAACATCACCACCAATATATCATAAGTCTGTTCCATCTCTTTACCCCGCTTTTTGTTTTCGAGCACCCAGGGGTGCCCTGAAAACAAGCATGGAAGCAGCCCACACGAGGGAATAACAATGCAAGCCACTGCAAAAAATAGCAAAGAACACACTTGATCACTCATTTGCCCTCCCCTTCTCCAGCCCTCCCACTGCCACTTGTTCAAAGGGGAAGTTGCAAAGTGATCGGCAAATAGGCGGATGGGTTCCGGTGCCGCAGGCAACGGCACCCTTGGCGCTCTGGCGCCCGCGGCCGCGGCGGCAGGCTTCGCGCCGGTCTTCATGGGCGCCTAATCCAAAAGATCCATAGCTGGGCTGTTGGCGGGGCGTGTTGATCGAAGCCTCCGTGGGTTAAACACCTTCTGGTTGTATAGTTGGATCTTTGGACGGGAACTTTTTGGGGAAACGGTGGAGTTTCCGTTGGACCCACAAAAAGTTGAACTTTTCGCAGAGGGGTCAACAGCAACCAAGGTTAGGGCAGCATGAACCGCCAAGCTTTTTGGGCAGGGAGGGGGGGGTTGCCAAGGTCAAACCAAGTTAGAGCCGTTCTGAAAAGGGAACCCAGCATTAAGAAGGCCTAAGGGGAAAGCACTGGCCGTAAGGGAACCAACGCTGGTAATCGTGGTTATGAGGTTGGCAACCTACTGGGTTAAACATCCACTGAAGGCAGTCTTAGCCCCGCGGTTTTACCAATTGGGCCGGGGGCAGGGGGGCGTGAGGGCATGTTTGGACTGCCTTGCTCAAGACATTGAATGGCCTCCTAAGAGGTGCCAGCTTCCTGCTGAAATTTTCCTCAAGGAAGTCGGGCATTTAGTTTTGTCCAGCCTCTATTTGCCAGCCAGCCTTGTTAGACCACCGTATCGACCAGATGTCCGTGTGCCAAGCTGGTCCAACCCAGAAGCGCACAAGGTCCACCCTGGTTTCGCTAAGCCGCGGATAGCCGAGCATTCCGATTTGCCCCTAAGGAAGGATCAGGGATCTATTTTCCTATAATCGATTTCTAGAGCATTGTAAACATATCGTAGTCCAACATATGCAGTCAACTGTGCGTATATTTTCCCACCAGTCAAACGTACGTAATCATCATGCATGTGTCCATTTACACATGGCAAATTATTCAATGATTCAACATAACACAATCTTATCTCTCGTCCCTTGTTGTGTTGCATTGTCATGTCCATAGTCGGGTTTAGCACATGATTCGTTATCCATACGTTTCAGCATACACACACACATATATATACATACACATATATATTCAATTTGCCACACATGTAAATCCATGATACACGTTTATAACACATACATTACACAATGGATAACTGGAGCGACGTGAGGTGCACGGTCTTGCGCATGGTCCCTCTGCCATGTTTGTCAATCCTCCACTAGCATCATTGGGATGCATCATGTAGCCTTCCCCGAGAGAAGCAGCAATTTGTTGCAACCCATCTTGTTTTTGAATCTTTTTGAAACGAGCTCGTACGGAGCAACATGGGGTCGCATATGTTGTGGGACATATACTGCCTCCATGTCCGATTTCAGGTTTTTGCTATTCGAACTCCGTAGATTTGCACAACTTGCGAGCGATTTGCCCGATCTGGGGGGAAACGAATTCATGATGAAGATCGGTTGCCACGATGAAGATCCCTAATTTCAGGATTCCTTATTTCAGGTTTGTAAGTTACCCTCTTTCCAACACTTCGGGTGGACGTTTTGGTGCTTCCCCAAGAGGAACGTCTTCCAACTCCCTCCAGTCGTCAGCTTCCATGACTGGAGGGATGGCAGTTGATCTTAATGGGAAGGAAGACCCCTTAGGAAAACAGACATGTAAAAGGCCTAGCCACCCTATGCCCTGCACTTTTATTCCGGGCCCAAATCGAGGCAGTTTGACCGCCCACGTCTCGAGCCTCGACTTCCTGGCGGCTCGGCGCCGCTGAGTGGCCGTTTGAGCTGCCAACTGTTCGGACAAGGACGCCAATTTTACTTAGTCTCCCCCCCCCCAACCCAAAAAAAAAAAAAAAAAAACAAGCAGGAGAAGGAGAAGAAAAACAGCAAGAGCAGAAAACATAGCTTTGATGTGAGACAATTGGACACCAAGGTTTGATTGGACACCAAGTTTTGACCCCGTCTGGGGAAAAGGGGGGATCCAGAGGTGAAGGTCTGCCTGACCTCACAGACGAAGTTTGCCTTCTCGAAGTCGCCCGAGACTACTCCAGGGAAGCAACCATATCCTGTGGTGATGATGAGTGTGTTCGATGATGCACTCCAATACCCGGTTTCCTCTCGTGTAACAGGTTCGCACTGGAAATCAAAAACAAGAGATGGCAAGTCCCTCTGTCCCAACTGGGCAAGTAGCATTGGGAGTAGGAAACCGTTGGCCAAGCGCCGCTGATTTTTTTGTTCGGACTGCTCGTTGTTCGGACTGCTCGTGGTCTATCTGTAAAGCATGTCAAGCAGCGCTCTTACGTGCCAGCTTCACCCAGCTAGCCCAAGCAGCCCCATGTCCCGAACGTCAGTCGAAGGCTCGAACTTTGCCAGGGCATTTTACATAGCAGTTGGTCGCCAAGAAGGAAACCTGCAATGGCAAGAGGGATCACAGTGCGACGGCTGCCTGGGCAGGACGAATCACTCGAAGTGTTTTTTCACACGTGAACCGTCCCTGAGTCCAAACGGAAGCTGCAACATGAATTAAGGCGCAGCATGAGATCGGTGGAGGCGGTTAGTGGAGACCAGCCCTTGTTGAACAACTGCGGAATGCTGATGGAGGCGGCTCCAGGCGCAGATGTTCTGGCCCTTTCTCAGCACAACGCCGGTGACATGCCCAAGCTTGGCGGTAGTGTGCTATGACCAATTATGCACAGGAACGAACAATTGAATGTCTGTCCAGACTTGGTTGAGATGATCCTGCTGTAGGCCTGCATGGTTCAAGCGAGAAGGGAAAGAAGAGGTGTAAGTTGCTTACACCTCTTCTCTTCAAATCGAAGCTGCGAAGACAGAGGTGGCGCAGCGGCAGGCCGTGCATTGACAGCGAGTCAAACCATATGGAGGGCTTGCAGCCGGTCAGCTCATCATTCACTCTGATTTTTCGCAGCCTCTGTATTCCAGTTGGCTCCCAGGATCCGCGGGTCGTCACGACCACTTTGGTAGGTGCAGCGGACCTGCCAAAGTGGTCGTGACGACCCTCGGATCCTTGGGACTAGGTGAAATAGAGCGGTTTGCGGCATTTTGTTGGCCATCCCTGGTTGCATTGCACTGTAGCTTTGTGGCAAGCATGGCCATCCCCAACTGAGCCGCATTGCAATGGTTGCAGCTCATTGGCCAGCATCACCTTCCCCGGTTCCATCACTGGGATTGGAGACGGTGCAATCCAAGGTTGCAGCTCACAGGGAAACGTGACCACAGCTCATTTGCAAACGGGACCATCCCCAACTCTGCGACTGAGATAGGGGTTGGTGCTTTTGAAGGTTGCCTATTGGCAAACGTGACCACCCCACACTCAGATTGGCAAACGTGACCACCCCTTGCTCAGTCACTCAGATTTGCAGAAATACCTTGCAAGGTTGCAGCTTATTGGCAAACTTGACCATCCTCAACTCAGTCACTGGGATTGGAAAGCTGCCTTCAAGGCTCACGAAGCAAAGTTCAAAGAATTCGAGAGAATCATTTACAAGTCATGTCCACGCTTGTCAGAACTTGCAGAACCCCACTGTTCCACATCCCGCAAAGGCTGTATGTTGCACGGTGGATCTTTTGAGCAGGGTTGTCCTGGACTGGTCAGATCATCATTCACTCTGATTTTTCGCAGCCTCTGTATTCCAGTTGGCTCCCAGGATCCGCGGGTCGTCACGACCACTTTGGTAGGTGCAGCGGACTTGCCAAAGTGGTCGTGACGACCCTCGGATCCTTGGGACTAGGTGAAATAGAGCGGTTTGCGGCATTTTGTTGGCCATTTCCGGTCCCTGGGTGCATGCCCCTGTCTGGTGAAGCCAATCGATGGAGAAGGACAGGTTGGAGTAGAGGCTTTCATTGACTGTAGCTTTGTGGCAACCGCATTGCAATGGTTGCAGCTCATTGGCCAGCATCACCTTCCCCGGTTCCATCACTGGGATTGGAGACGGTGCAATCCAAGGTTGCAGCTCACAGGGAAACGTGACCACAGCTCATTTGCAAACGGGACCATCCCCAACTCTGCGACTGAGATAGGGGTTGGTGCTTTTGAAGGTTGCCTATTGGCAAACGTGACCACCCCACACTCAGATTGGCAAACGTGACCACCCCTTGCTCAGTCACTCAGATTTGCAGAAATACCTTGCAAGGTTGCAGCTTATTGGCAAACTTGACCATCCTCAACTCAGTCACTGGGATTGGAAAGCTGCCTTCAAGGCTCACGAAGCAAAGTTCAAAGAATTCGAGAGAATCATTTACAAGTCATGTCCACGCTTGTCAGAACTTGCAGAACCCCACTGTTCCACATCCCGCAAAGGCTGTATGTTGCACGGTGGATCTTTTGAGCAGGGTTGTCCTGGACTGGTCAGCTCATCATTCACTCTGATTTTTCGCAGCCTCTGTATTCCAGTTGGCTCCCAGGATCCGCGGGTCGTCACGACCACTTTGGTAGGTGGGACTTGCCAAAGTGGTCGTGACGACCCTCCTTGGGACTAGGTGAAATAGAGCGGTTTGCGGCATTTTGTTGGCCATTTCCGGTCCCTGGGTGCATGCCCCTGTCTGGTGAAGCCAATCGATGGAGAAGGACAGGTTGGAGTAGAGGCTTTCATTGACTGTAGCTTTGTGGCAAGCATCGCCATCCCCGACTGAGCCGCATTTCAATGGTTGCAGCTCATTGGCCAGCATCACCTTCCCCGGTTCCATCACTGAGATTGGAGACGGTGCAATCCAAGGTTGCAGCTCACAGGGAAACGTGACCACAGCTCATTTGCAAACGGGACCATCCCCAACTCTGCGACTGAGATAGGGGTTGGTGCTTTTGAAGGTTGCCTATTGGCAAACGTGACCACCCCACACTCAGATTGGCAAACGTGACCACCCCTTGCTCAGTCACTCAGATTTGCAGAAATACCTTGCAAGGTTGCAGCTTATTGGCAAACTTGACCATCCTCAACTCAGTCACTGGGATTGGAAAGCTGCCTTCAAGGCTCACGAAGCAAAGTTCAAAGAATTCGAGAGAATCATTTACAAGTCATGTCCACGCTTGTCAGAACTTGCAGAACCCCACTGTTCCACATCCCGCAAAGGCTGTATGTTGCACGGTGGATCTTTTGAGCAGGGTTGTCCTGGACTGGGGGCTGTTTTGCTGAAGCAGAGCTGTCGCCCAAATCCGTGCAGAGTTTCACCAGACAGGCGCTCATGCGAGTCAGTGGTCAAAACACCAGACAGCGGCTGTTTGGCATCGGGCGTGGTCAGGGATAGTCGAAACCTTTGTCCTGACTGGCGCATGCCATTTTTTGGAAGAAGAAACGTCTGCTCGTGATGTGAGCGACGGGCAATGCTCTCACCGTCATGTTTCAGATCGCTTGCCGAAATTTCACCTTTGCCCACCAGGATTTGACTCCAGGGATTCCGAATTCCCCCATGTGGGCAATCCACCGCCCTGGGTTTCAGTCAGCTTACCACATTTCCACCTAGGCAGGTGTTCATCAGCATGGAAATGGCACCAGTCGAGGGTAAGGCCATGCGCCAGACGGCAAAGCGGAGGAAGTGAGCGCAGCTCCACTGAGCACGGTTCAAATATAGATTTGTTTTTGTTCCTTCCCTTCGGCCAGTGGGTCCAAAGACAATTCGCTGCCCTGTGCGGTGTTTCTTAGCCACTTGAAGGGGGCCTCACAACTGATAGCGGATGCGAAGTTGTAGTGGTTGTTCAAATTGGGCTTGCGGAAAATCGAAGTGGCCCAGATTGAACGCGGCGAGGTGCTGTGGATGTTCTTCAGCCCCGTCTTGCTGGAAGACGGCCGGCGTCGAGGCCGGAGCGATTCGGGAGGGTTTTCCAGGGCTTTCCCAAAGTTCTGCGAGGGTTCCCCCAGAATGTTTTTTTTTTTCAGGGTTTCGCAAGGGTTCCCGATAATTTCAATGATTTGGTGTCCAAACTGATCGAGTAGGTTGGTTGGGCATCGACGAAGCCACAACTTCAGCAAGCGTCAAAAGAGTTTCATTTTCCAGTGGGCTCAAAAGCCGGGGTCCCGAAAGTGTTTGGGACTCACCTGCTTGACAGCCTTGTTTGGGATGGGGGGCCAATTGGGCCTCATTTGACCTCTCGCTTTTCAAAGCGCTTGGGTTGGTTTCAAATAAGCGAGGACAGCCAAGAGGAAAACCTCGGACTGATTGAAAGGGAAACCGAGAGGAAGTTGATCGCTGGACTGGTTTTCCCTGAGAGGTGTCTTCCTGGGGCAGTTCAGCGACTGGAGCCCCAGCGATAAGGCGGGCCGGGCTTCCTTGCAACGGGGCTGTTCGAAGGCGACCCTGAACATTTCTTTCATTTGGCCATCACTTGGTGGAAAGGAGAGAGAGATAGATAGGAGAGAGAGAGAGAGAGAGAGAGAGAGAGAGAGAGAGAGAGAGAGCGCAAAGAAGAGAGAGAGAGAGAGAGAGAGAGAGAGAGAGAGAGAGCACAAAAGGGAGAGAGAAGAGCAACAAAGAGATAGAGAGAGAGAGAGGGAGAGAGAGAGCGAGGGTGAGGAGAAAGACATGACACGCCCTTGTCACTTTTCAGGCAAGCTAGCAAAGGGCAATGCCTTTGCTACCAAACGTTGACCCAAGCTGTCATGGGAAGTCGGGACTCGTACAGCCCTGGTCGCGTTTTTTGGTGAATCTCCCATTTACGGCGAGATGCTCCACTTGCGGGACCATCGTTTCTCCACTCAGCCCCTTGCAGCCCATGGCACATCTTGAGGGGTTCTCAAACGTATCATCGCAATCCATTTCCTGGAGCTGGTGGGACGTTTTCCTGCGAAGAAGTGCACAGGCAAAGGTGGGACACCCCGGGTTTTTGCTGGCCTGGGGCCAAAAACAAACAAGTTCTCTAAAATCCACCATTTCGGCCCCTTGGAGTATTGATCCGCGTTTTTTTGCCCGGGCGCGGGGGAAGGGGTTGCCACAAAGGTGCCGGAGAACCGGCGGATTGGAACATGGTGAGCGCGGAGGATGGCTTGGCAGTTCCCAGCTACACCCTTAGACGTTCAGCTTTTTCGCGTTTACAGGGGTTCGTGACATCTCCAACTAAAAGTTGACAAGTTTTCACCAATCCAGAGCACCAGAGGATAGAGAGAAGCTGAACTAGCATGAGCCCACAGCAACCACCGAATGGGTTCCTTGTGTGTCGAGCCAGGCCGAGGAGGGTGGGGGGCGTGTCCCTTGCGAGGCGCGCTTCGCGTTCTGCGGCCTGGTGCCCGTCTTCGGCGGCCTCGCCTGGCTGCTGAGCCGGCCGCCGCTGAAGTGAGACGAAGATGAGCTTAGCAATCTAACTAACTCATTCCTAGATAGCCAAGTTGCTGCTTTTGTCAGTCACTGTTGCTGGGTTTTGGGGTAAAGTGCATGGAAAAACAAGCAACAGCAACTGGCGATTCAGTAATCAATGATATATGGCTGTGGGTCAAAACCAATGGGACCCCATTTTGGTTGGTAGGTGCACCACCCATTTTAGAACCTATTTTAGTGGGGATTGGGATGTTCACTGGGGGTACGGGATTTTGACCCATGGCCATCTAGCTAACTCATTGCCAAAGAATTTGTTAATGTTGAAACGCATGTGGAAACATGAACTGTGTTTGCAATGCTTGACCATAATGGCGCATGCCATTTTGGCTCAAGCTTTGCCCTGGGTTCTTTGAACCCAATTTGTGTGAAAAAGATTTGAGTTTGAACACCCCCGAACTAACCCCGATCAAGCAATGGCTTCCTCGGCAACCTCGGCAACTTCCTTTGAGCTGATTGAGGACCAGACGCTCACCGCGGAGGAGGTGGAAATGGCCAGCCAGGAGGCCCAGGAAATCCGCACACGCGAGGCGGCAGTGGCGGCCGGCCTGGTGTTGGACGAGCCCGAGGCCCCCCCGTCGGCTTCGGCTACCGACGTGATGAACGACCTCTCCAGTGCACTGGAGCGTCTCCGTGTGGCGTTCTCCACACCGACTTCCGGCTTGGGTGCCCCTGGCCCCGCCGAGGAGGAGGACAAGGACATGGAAGATGCGGACGCCACGGAGCGGGCTACTCCACCAACGAAGAGGCTGAAGGGTTTCGTGGCGGCTTCCCAGAAGACCACGGTTCAGGTGAACAAACCGGTCTCCCTTGTGCCGGTGGAGGGCCGTCCCGGCTACTTCAAGTTAGTGGACCTCCCAGACCTCTTCCCGGTCCTTCCGGCATCGGCGGCCACGTTGCTGAGGGACGTCACGGTGGAGGAGGCGGTCTCCCTGTTCCATAAGTTTGTCGGGAAGAATCTCACGGAGGACTTGGTGATTCGCATCCTGGAGGCCTATGTTCCGATGAAGATCCAGATCCGGCAGGAGGAGGTCTGGGCCTCACAGTTCCAGAGGAACAATGCGTGCATTGGCACCCAGCGGATGCACAGACTCGATGCCGGCCACTCAGACTACAAGTTCATGTGCAAGGCATGCGGCACGGGGTGGCCGGAGGCGGCCAAGCAATGCTGGGTCTGCCGGGCAAGGAGTTCGTCCCCTTCCAGGCACCCTCGGCTACCTATGAGGCGGACGGCGTCACTTACAACCTGCTCATTGTGGAGGGCAAGCCGACCTGGATCCAGCAGCGGGAAGGGGGAAGCCTGGGTGCCGCTGGCCCCGGTGGTACCCGGGCACAGGCAGACCGCAACCTGGTGGACGGCACGGTCCTGGGGAGAGCTCCTCCGAAAACGGACACGGCAGAGGAGATTACCATGGCAGACGTGGTCCCGCTCAACAGGCGGGTGGACATCCGGCAGGAGATCCTGTCCATGGAGGCGGACGACGAGGCGTTGAAGGTCCGGGAGTGCCAGGAGGTCAAGGTCAAAGTGCAGCGGTCCCTGAAGGAGGCGGAGGCTCAGAGCTTCCAGCTCTACCACCCCCAGGTGGACCAGACGATCCGGAAGAAGGAGGAGCTGCATAAGGCCTTGAGGGAGCACCGGGAACCGACCCCGGAGGAGTCCTCGGCCAGGCGGCGGCACAAGGAGTTGGTCACGGATGAGATGCTGGACAATGAGATGGCTATCCTGGCGCCTCTCCAGGAGGGCATGCAGGCCCTGCCGTCACAATGAGGGAGCCCGCCCTGAAACGCAGCGCCTCCTTGCTGTCGTGGACGGGGGCCACTGGGATCTCCATCACCGGCAACGGGCAGTTAACGATGAAATTCTTGGCCGCCAGGAACGTCCCCATCTCCTTGAAGATGTAGCTCCATTCCGCCTTGCTGCGCGGCTTGGGGATTCCCAGGCTCTCCAGGAAGGGCACCGCCTCCTTCCTCATCTGGAGGATGTTGCCCATCCACTTGTCCGAGGCCGAGCCCTCCGCATTGCGGCCCCGGCGCTGCGTCTTCACGATCAGCGGGAAGGTGGTCCAGGCCGAGTAGATGTACTTGAAGGTGAACCTGTGGGCGTACAACCCCCGTCAGGCTCGGCAGGTCCCACGTTCTCGTCTGCCTGGTCCAAAACACTCCATCGCCCTTCGCCCAGAAGATCCCCACCACCTGCTCCGGCGCCGGGTGCTCGCCCCGGTTCACCTGCGCTCGGATCTCCAAGGCCGTGTAGATGACAGGGTCGATGTGGTCCTGCTCGCACGTGAGTGGGTGGGTCCTGCGCTCCAGGGCCAGAAGCTCCTCCGGCGTGAGCTTGAATTGCTGGTCCGCGCCCTTGGGGATCTCACCGCTTGAGTGCTTCTTCCAGATCCCCCCAAACATCCGTAGCTCACCTTGGTGCCTCTTCATCGCCCAGAGGAGCAGGGACAGCTTGCCCTCCTCCGAGTCCAGGTCCTGCTATGGTCCCCCCCGGGGCCAGTGGCACCCTTAAAAGGGGGGCCGGTGTCGCCAGATCGGGCATCTCCTCCAGCAGCGCCTCCTGGTTCCATGGGTTCTGCGACTCTCTGAGCCTCCTGATGTAGGGGACATACTTCTCCTTGATGCCTCCCACGTTGGGGATGTCCTCGGGGTCATCCAGCTCCAGGGGGCAGAACAGCCCCCTCTCCAGTGCCTGCCTGAGATCATCTGGCCACGCCGACACTTCCAAGGGCTTGAGGGTGTGGTTAAGCATCCATGCCTGGTTGGTGTCCTGGGTGCCTCCTGAATGGAGCCCATCGCCTCAGCCAGTGCCTGGCTGGCGTCAACGCCCTTCCCCTCCAGGTACTGGTCTCTCAGCTTGGCCTTGAAACGCTCCAGGTTGACCTTCCTGAGGGGTCTGCGACGAGCGAATCACCTTTCCGCTGTCATCGCTGAGGGCTTTCGACTCGGTATACACCAAGCTGGTGTCGGGCCTGAGTAAGTCCTCCATGGTGGAGGTGAAGGTCAACTGGCGTTGCAACGTGGTCCATGACTGGGTGGAGCAGGTCCCGCAGCAGGGAGGCGGCGGGGGCCCTGTACGACCGGTTGGGCTACTCCCAGGACCTAATCCGGCAGCTGGGCCCCCCCCTTTGGGTGCCTCGGGCCCCGGGGGAGGAGCGGCCAAGGAATCGGACCCCAAGGCCAAGATTCTGGGGGGGGCGGACACCACGCACCAGGCGGTACCCTCCCATCACCACGTCCACGGTCACGGCGGTCGCGGGCCGGAAGTACATCAACAAGCACTTCCCGAAGGAGACGAAGCACGTGTTTTGGGCCTCCGTGGAGTGCGGCCTGGTCCTGCCCAGCATCAGCGCCTGGGAAGTGGTGGGCAAGGAGAAGTTCAAGACCACCGGGGGCTACATGTGCAGGTTTTGCAAGGGCTTCTGGAGGGCGAGCCGCGGGGGGACCAGGCTGCTCCAGATCACGGGGTGGCACAAAGACAAGGCCACATGCCTGCAGCTGGTGATGGACGAGCCCCCGGAGCAGCTATATAATCAGTGGGTCCGGGACAGGATGGAGTTCTACAAGAGGGTGGAGCCGACGCGACGGAGCGGCTAGTCCTTGGCGACGCGAGCACCCCGCGCATGCGCTTCAGCTCCTCGAATGGCCTGGGGGATGTCTCCACTGCCTTGTGGTCGGTCATTTTGAGCAACCCGGAGAAGTCAGGGCTGGCGGCCATCCACTCGGTGGCTAAGGAGGCGATCTTGAAGGGTGAGAGCCGCTAGGTCGTGTCTCACAGCCTTTTTGGATGTGGAGTCGTGAGATCTCTTCCCACCGGGACTTGGGTGCCTCTGGCCCCGTCTCGGGAGGGGGGAGGAGTAAGGGTGTCCCCTTTTGGGTTCATCTTTCACCTGGGTTTCCCCCCCTGTTCAATGCGTCACGACTGCCGGTAGGCTGCACGCTTTGGCTGCCCCAAGGACGGGCTAGATCGGCCACAGTTTGGAGAAAGTGGCTGCGGCTGACGGCTGACTCTGGGTTCCCTGAGGTCCCCTTGGGGGTTTTGGGGAATCCCCCGCCGGGTTGGTCTTCCCCCCTCCGTGGTCCTTTTTGGGGATTTCCGGGGGTTGACTTTTGGGTCCTGTTGGGCTGCATGTGGCCTGCCTGCCCCATTTGCACTCGGCATCCTGAGGGGTTGGAACATGCGTGCAGTGTGCCGCGGTTGGGTCCCGGCCGTTCGATAGGAGGCTCGAACCCCCGTTTTCATCATGGCTAGGGTCTCTACAAAGTTTCTTTTGCGCCCGCCTTACACTCGTCTTTGGGACCGCATTCCAAGGGTCCTGTGGGACACGTTGGCGGATGAGTCCTTCTCCCCGAGACAGACGGACGGGGAGCTGCTGGTCCTGATGTGCCTGCGCCATGGCACGGCAGAGGAAGGGAGGCAGCTGGCGGCCTGGAGCTCTCGGGCATTCCGGTGGGCCAAGATGACCAAGTGGTGCCAACGGACTACTTCAACGGCCTGGTGGCGTCGGCGGCGGGCAGGCTTCCCCAGCCTTTGTCCGCGGCGGACCTGGCCGACCTTTGGGATAGCCTATGGTTCCTCCTCATGGCGGCTGCGGATGGCAAGCCGAGCGAGAACTTTTCCTCGCTGGAGAATGAATGGGACCGCCAGGACCAACTGAGGTGGTTCTCGCGAGATGACCCACCCCCACTCCAACAGCCGGAGCTTCTGAAGTGGAGGCACTGGCGGCCCGGGAAGATCAGGGAAATGGAGCCCACGACCCGGCAAGCGCTGGAACTCCATATGCGCGGGAAATGGGCGGAACGGCTCCTTGCCCACTTCGCCCCCTTTGCAGAGCACATTGCACACATGCAGGACATCCTGGGGGAGGACTTCCGCAAGGAGGCATTGGACCTCTTGGGTGACAGCAGGTTCCGGACGCTCAGGCAACATTGCCTGGTCTACGAGAGTCTCCGCAAGAGAGGCTTCACCGTGATTCCATGGCAGGAACGACATGTCCGCTCTCTCCTCAACCAGCTCGCCGATGAGGAGGGTCACCCCGTGCAAGTTGCGGCAGGTGTGGAACACCCTCAAGTGGTTCTCAAAGACCTTCGGATTGCTGAAGATAGATGAGCTCCATCGCCTCAAGTCCAAGAAGAGCTCATTGGAAGAGGCGCTCACGGACACGGTCACCAGGCCACAGCGTAAGGCGGTGGTCCCCAGCAAAGAGGTCATTTGGGCTCTGGAGGAGGGGGCCGGCTACGATCGCCTGGGTGCCACCGGCCCCGGCACGAGGGAGGCCCCGGGAAAGAGCAGACACGAGGTGCTGGACGCTTTCATCCTGGGTTTCGCCCGGTTCCAGGTTGGTTGCAGCGCTCGCTTCAATGACCTCCAGCACGTTCACCCCAAGGACCTTATCCACACCAGCAACACTGTGGAGCTGAAGGCCTGGCAGACCAAGACGGTCTCTGCAGCACGAATCAATCGCAACCCGGTCCCCTTGATTGCTCCGAAGTACAGCTTCACGGGAATCCCCTGGTGGACTACCTGGGTGGCCTCGGTAAGGCGGTTGGTATCCGAGGAGGCATTCCAGGACATGGATTACTTGCTCCCGACGGTGAGCAAAGACTTTGCAGGGCTTATCCCGCGGCCTTCCACACCGGAAAGGGCTCTGAGATGGCTCAAGGATGCTATTCTCCGTCGGGGTGTCACCCCGGGGTTGGTGAAGCCGCTGTCGTGGCATTCGTTCCGGGTGTTCATCCCGGACTGCGCCTTCCAGATGGGGATCCCCCGGGAGCGCCGCATGTACCTGGGCAACTGGCTCACGGAGAGCACGGCAGATGTCTACGTGCGGGAGAAGCGCAACGTGGTTGTGGAGATCTGGGGCCAGGTAGCGCAGAAGGTCCCCAACCTGAACCTCGGGCCAGGCAGGGAACGCAGGGAGGACTTGAATCACCCGGACTGGGCGGACCCGCTCCCGCCGCCAGCAGTGGACATCACGGACGCAGGACCGGAGGGCCGCGAGGACCAAACCGAAAGGGGAAGGGGAGGCATCCCCTTCGGTACCCTCAGGGAGCGCGCCATCGACTCGCTCATGGTCAGTGGTGGAACACGGACCCGAGGACAAGTGAAGGCTAAGGACCTGTTTCCCGCCACCCCGGACCTCCCCCTTCGGGTGGTGGCGGCGGTCAAACGCACAGGCAACGCCGGCCAGTCCAGAATCCACCTGCTGAATGTCGAAGGCACGGCTGCGGGGTGTGGTTGGCGACCGGCGGCTTCTAAGGAAAGGTGCTGGACTACATGACGGAGCAGGAGGCCTATGGCAACGTTCGCGGAACCTGCGGAGGTCCCCACACTGCAGGAGGACTCGGACTTCTCGGCGGACTCGGGCTCTGAAACGGATGACTCGGTGGACACCCAGTTGGAGACCGAGGTGGTGGCCCTACCGTTGGCAGCCTAGGTGCCCCCGGCCCTGGCGACCAAGGGGCCCGGAGCGGGGCCCTGGCCAGGACCCTCAGCACAGACTGGCATCCTTCGGAAATGGCGGGTGTGCCAGACTGTCCTTCGGAAATGGCGCTATCAGTCTGCACACCCGTTCTTCAGTTTTTGAGATTGTGAGTTGGGTGGCCCATGGGGCCCACCCAGCCTTTGTCATCTGACAGGGGAAGATGAGTCCCTGGCACCAACACACTGTTCGGATAAAAGAGTTATCGCGTGCTTGTGTGTGGTGCCGTTTGGTTAGCTTGCATACACTTTGTTAATGTTGAAACGCATGTGGAAACATGAACTGTGTTTGCAATGCTTGACCATAATGGCGCATGCCATTTTGGCTCAAGCTTTGCCCTGGGTTCTTTGAACCCAATTTGTGTGAAAAACCCAGGTCGGAGGTCATGGCGGCCAAACCACCTGAGGAGGTCCCAGCGGAGTTCAAGGAGGACGTGGCAAAGTTGCACAAGCCACTGGCGGCCATCCTGGTGGGGAAGGAAATCCCCTGGGCCACCCAGGCGGCTCTGGGCGCATCGGGATACGTCACGGTGGAAGACCTGGCGGATCGCTGGGACACCCCGGCGGCGGCTAGGGAGAATGGTCCCCGGGACCTGGGATTCCGGGATGGGGAGAACGGGTTCAACGCCCAGACCTCGGCCTTCACGGCGATGCGCCTCCTTCAGGCAGTCCGGGTGGCAGCCAACTTGGTCCGGGGGGGCAACCAAGGGGCCAGGCGGGCCCGACAAAGGCGCCCTTGGAGACAGGCGCCAGCTGGAGGATGCTTACGTGGCCACGCATGGGACCCCGAAGCCGAGGTTGGAGTTCCACGGGAGTGATGGCTACCTCAAGAAGCAGTGGCGCATGATTGCCAAGGGTGAGCTGGGCTACATCCCGGCAAAACACATCGTGAGCGCGCTCCCGGAAGAAGGGGAACGCCCCTCATCCACCCACAAGAAGATCACGGTGGACGGCTGGGACAGGGAGGATGAAGAAGAGGTGAGGAGCCACCCTACATCCCGGCGGTGCTCCAAGAAGGAGAAGCCCACCTGCGGGACCGTTAGCTGACCTAGCCCCTTGTAGGCCAGCGAGGTCAGGTACATCTGTCGGAGCATGAGCACGCTGTCATTGTCCGTGTCCTCCATAACCCGGGGCTCCAGGTCCTCTAAGCCCCACAGGGTCTGCTCTGCTCTGCCCCTCACCGGCGGCGGGCCACCCGGTTTGGGGAACCATCACGTCCTGCAGTTGGGGCCGCCCCCCCAAGGCGACCTTGCCCGCCATGGCCATGGAGCACATCGTAGAGTAAGGCTCCTCTCCCAGCATGTGTCCAAGGTCTCCACCCTTTCGCCTGATGTCCACCGCCCAAATGTACTCCGAGAAGGCCGGGTTGTAGGCATGGAGGTAAGCATCCAGGGCCCCCGCATCATCCTTCCCAGCGTACAGCAGGATGAGGGACGGCTTTGACGACTCCGGCACCGGCCGTGGCGTCCACCTCAGTCTTTCCGGGATGTCCTGCATCCATGGGAAGGTGGGGCTTGCCCCCCTAGGGATTCCGTGTGTCCTTTGTCTGACCCTCCCGTCATCTGTTTCTGGGCTTGCTGCTTGCCCTGGCGGTTCTTCCCGCCCTTGGAACGCCCCTTGCCGGGCGGATCCTCACCTCTGGGTTTTTCTGGGACTGCCTTGGTGGGTGCGGGGGAAAGGGATGCTTCCGCCCTTCTGGAGTGCCTGGCTGGGACCGCTCCTCTTCCTCAGTGGAGGGGCTTCCGGGGCCGGTGGCACCCTGGAGAAGTCCCCTCCCACCAGAGGCCGTCCTGCTCCCCCGTGCCTTCCGCTGTGGCTCTGGTGGGGTTGGCTCTCCCCCTCTGTGTGCACTCTCGCGCTGGTGGCCTGTGGTCCCAACTGAGACCGGGAAGCCACGGGGCCTATGGCACCCTGAGTGGCCTCCTGTCACTTGGGAAGGTGAGGGCATGCCTGTGGCACATGCTTCGATGGGGGGGCATCGCACACCCACCCATCCTTCCTGACCGGGCAGTTGTGGGATCGGCCGCATGATCCCGAAGTGGACCTTTGGGATTCTTGAAAGCCCAGTGGTCCGGCCATGGAACCGAGGGGGTGTTGGGGGACTTCCCCTTGCCGCCCTTGCCCTTCGGCTTGGACCGGGTCGGCCCCGAGGGCCAGGAGCCTTTCCCCCCCTTCTTGGGCTTCTCCCACTGAGTCCCTGTTGAGGTGCTCATAAACCTCCCGTTGCCAGAAGAGGAAGTCGACCCTGATATTCTTGAGGGCATCGGAGAGAGTGGTGCCCTGGTGCACCATCTCGTGGATCTTGCGCCATGCATTGCGCTCTGCGAACAGCAAGGTGGTGTCGCTCGGGGGAGGCTTCCTGCCGGCGATGTCTTCCCCATAGAACCAGGCATACCAATCATCCAGCTCCTCCTTGGTGACCTTCAGGTTGCCAAACTGTGGCAGTGCTGCCGTGCACATCAGGAGCGTCGTCCTGAAGGTTAGGTGCAATCGTTCCAGCTGGCCAATGGACCCAATGGAGTGCAGCAAGAGCCCGAGCGCAGCGAGGTGCTCATCGATCTGGGTCACACGGGCCTACATTCAATGGGCGAGCGCACTCCACCACTCCCTCATCAAGTTTGACGAGTGCCGCCTGGGCCAGGTGGTGGTGAAGTCCACGATGTTGTCAACGGACCTTCCCCTTCACCATTGGCATGATCTGCGTTGCAACCACGGGGCTCACCCCAGGGGGGAAAAGCTCAACTCCAGTGACCTCAGCCGGTACCCAGAGCAGATGATGCAGGGTCTCGCAGCGGCCATCCTTTGCCGAGCGGGACCCGTCCTGGAGGCGCTGAGGCTGGGGGGCACGGCGCCCCAGGCGAACCCAACGACCCCCCCGAGGCGGCAGAGGGAACCTTCTCCCAGCACGCCGGGGGACAACAAGCGCCAGTCCCGGAGGCTGAAGGCTGGCCAACAAGCGTTGGCAGGACTAACCTTGGGCTCACTTCCGGTCTCGGCCTTGGACAATCCGGAGGTCCGGACACCGACACAGAGGACTGGCGAGACGGACGAACTTGGGGGGGGAACTCTTTCCCCTGAGCCATGGGCACACCATGGCATGGAAATCTCGGATCGGCCCACCATCCTGCCGATCACGCACGACCCCAATCTCTCCCACAAGGTCATGTACCTCCAGATGGCCTTCAAACAGCGCTCCCTAAGGGACGGAGGAGGAAAGCCCTCATTGGGACGGTTGGCCCCATGGACCCGGCCACTGTCCAAAGCAGCAGCGATGGGGGCCAAGATCTGTGTCACTTCGCCATGGGGGGACAAGCTCCAGGAGTCGCTCTCGTTGGGGGATGGGTCGCATCCCTTCCTGGAGGACCTGCTGGAGGATAGCAGGGAGATTCTGGCGCCGGGGGCAGGCCGACCAGCTGACGGCCAACCCTTCTTCCTGGACATCTTGCACAGCGTGGCGCTGAACATTCAGGACCCCGACCACCAGTTTCCCTGGGGGGGGATCTGGATAGGGGTCCCACTGGGGGTCACGGACCCACCCCTGACCTCGCCGGGCATCTGGCCACTCAAGAAGGAGCTGAAAGGGGAGGAGCCGGAGTTCCAGGAACTCCCTCACCCAACGGGCAGGGGTAACTACCCCTCGACGGATCACTTCAGCGAGCTCATCCGGGGCACATGTGGCTGCGAATCGAGGACCTTTGTCCCGGCCCCCTAGTGGGCATCGACGAGGGGGAAAAGATCCACACCATCTACGATGGCTCGGTGGGCGGGGCCAATGACACCATCAGGAACCAGACGGTGGAAAGGACGACGGCTCCGACGGTGCTGGATGGGGTCCAAGCTCTTCATTGGCTACATGCGGCAGCTGCGGAGGGACCCCCCTCTCAGGGTGCCCCTGGCCCCGAGAGGGGGGTCGTCAAACCTCCACCTGGGGGCTGGCTATGGCCGGAGCCGGGCACCAGGTGGGTGCTGCTCAAGGCGGACGTCACCAAGGCCCACCGGAGAGTGAAGGTCCTCAGGAAGGACTGGCGGTTCCAGGTGGCCTCACTGGGGGAAGAATGGTGGGTGAACAAGGTAGGCACATATGGCATGGCCAGTGCCCAATCCTACTGGGGACGCCTGGCAGCCCTTCTACTCAGGGTCCTCTACGCACTTTTCCCTCAAGTGGATTGGAACTTCGTCTTTGTCGATGACTTCCTGTGGCTGCTTCGAAGCGAGGGGGCAGTAAACTTGGCGGTGGCGCTGCTGGCAACACTCCTGGCCTTGGGCACCCCGCTTAGCTGGAAGAAGACGCATTTGGCGGAGGTTAACACATGGCTGGGTTTCGTGGTCCACCCGAACATCCCGCAGGTTCTCATGGCAGCCAACAAACACATCCTGGTTATGGAGGTTCTGCAGACCATGGTGGAAGGGCAGGCAATGCACTCAAAGGACATCGAGAAGGCCCTGGGTCGCATCCAATGGGCGACGGCTGCATGTCCGCTGGCGAAGTCGATGCTCCAGCCACTTTGGGCCTGGAAGATGGCCACCACCACGGTGGGGAAACCCCCAAGGTGGTCAGGATGCTGGCGTTCATGCTGCGGTTCCTCTTCAACACGCCTTTCGTCCAGTACTCCCCTTACTTGCCGAAGTCCTCTTGGTGGGGTTGCAGCGATGCTAGCGCCTCGGACGAAGGACTGGCATTTGTGGGAGGTTGGTGCTCCAACAAAGTGGAGCCGGAAAAGAAGGAGGTGTACTGGTTCCACGAGCAGATCCACGTGGAGGAGTACCCTTGGGCATTCAAGAATGGGGATCCCAAGCGGAGGATTGCGGCTCTGGAGATGCTGGGCACGCTCTTCCTCTGTAACATGATCCTCACGCACCAAGGCCCTCTGTCCTCCCGGGTCCGACTCCCGGTGGGCAGTGACAATCAGGGCAACGTCATGGCGATGCTCAACCTTGGATCCAAGAAGCCCTACACGGCGGCGATCCTGATGGAGCTGGTCTTCCTGCTCCACACCCATGGCTGCTCGCTGGCGGCCAACCACGTGCCCCGTGAATTCAATCAATGGGCTGATGAGCTGACGCACCCAGATTTCTCTGGGTTCGACCCTTTGCAAAGGGTCCCCAAGCAGGAACTCTGCGAGGAGTTCGTTTTTCTCCCGCGTCTCCTGAATGGAGATGCATTTGATCTTAGCGTGGGCCCACCCATGCTCCCGTGACCGGAGCCGGTGGGCGACTCACTTCCCCTGGTGGCAGACCCCCCTGTGGCCTGGGTGCCACGGGCCCCGGCTCAGGGGCGGGCGCTATCAGTCTGCACACCCGTTCTTCAGTTTTTGAGATTGTGAGTTGGGTGGCCCATGGGGCCCACCCAGCCTTTGTCATCTGACAGGGGAAGATGAGTCCCTGGCACCAACACACTGCTCGGATAAAAGAGTTATCGCGTGCTTGTGTGTGGTGCCGTTTGGTTAGCTTGCATACACAAAGAGAAGTAAGCTGGCGCAGCAAAAAGACATGCTTGGCTTGGAAGCTCGGCAAGAACCACTTGATTGATTTGGCGAGTTTTTGTTTTTTTTGTTTTTGCAAAAAAAGCAAAAAACAAACAAAAACAAACACTTCCGGGAATCCTCTTGAGAACTATAACAAGTTATGGGAATGACTCCATTTTGCTATCGCCGAACGGGGGAGTTGTTCCCTAACCATGCGCGCATGAAGTCGAAAGCGCCGCGGGAGCCAGATCGGGGCCCGAGCTGAGTGCGAGGACAGCTTCGGGAAGTGTCCAAGAGCCCTGCGGCGGTTCCCATCCCAAAATTTGCGATCCAGTGGCGAGCGCATGTTTTTTTTGGCATGCACATTGTACCCCCCAAGAAACCAGCAGTGACTGACAAAAAGCGATCGCAGCTTGGCGAATTATCTAGGATGGCCCTTATTGGCCACCGAGAGTGAGCTGTCGCCAAGAGTCTGCAGCTCCCTTGCTCTGGCTTTCCATGGCCTCAAACATTTTCCGAGGGAACGCAGCCGGCTGCTGCTCCTCGCGATTTTCGGTGCGCCCGCGCGCGGTGGATTTTTTCAGCCGGACCTGGAGTGCTTGGGCCAGGGAAAGGCCAAGCAAAGGAATGGTTCGTGACAGTTTTCGCCTTACTGGGGTGGCACTTCCCACTTAACCAACTCCCGGATCAAAGTGGGCTCCCCTCCGTAGCCCTCTTGGTGCAGCCACCCCTCCAGGTTCGAGAGGCTCAGAGCGTTGCGCCTCGCGGCAGGTGGAACGAAAAGCTGAGTTGTTTTTTTTGTTGTGCGGCGCGAGGGACGCGGGCATTGGTGTTCTTGTGACCATAGCTGTTCATCCATTCCACCGGTTTCGGTTCGGTCGAAAATCGTCAGATACCGCTGGTTGTCGCTGGGTTTTGTTCATGGAGTGGAATCCCATCCAGTCGTCCAAAAGGGCTCCCCAAAACCCGGCTGTTTGCGTGCAGGGCGCTGGGACTGGGCTGGGAGGTCTGCAGCTCGCTTCGGCTTGGTACTTTGTGCGGGGGTTGGTTTTCGATCCCCCATCCCATGCCAAGGCTCAGCTGATATCCCATGCCAAGGCTCATACACCTTTAGCCATGGCAGAGCGTGCTAGGGCCTTAGGGTTGGGTGAATTCCAAGAAGGCCACACTTGTTGGTTTCCGCATCCCATGTTTCAAGTGAAGCCCAACGCCCAGAATCCCAGGCCTGGGAGTGCCCAGACCACTCGCCCAGGAAGGCGTTCTGGAGGAACTCGGCGCAGCCGAAGGCGCCGAACCCGACGCCCCAACCGCCGAAGATGCCGCCACCCGAGCACTTGCTGCAGGGGAGGTTGGGCAAACCGTGAGCTGGCTTGGTCAAAAGTGACGTCCCAACGATTTGTGGCCTGGTGGTTTAAGCGCCATTGCACCCTCCCTGATTCTGTTTGGTCATGGATGTGATGTGAATTGTGAATACAAGGTTTGCGCCACGTTTTGGCATCAACATTACGTAAGTTACTAAAGTCACGCGTGACAATTATGTAAATTTGCTCTAATGCTTGATTCTGTGATTTGACGTTACCTAGTGGTTCGCAATCTTGCAAATGTTTAATGTTCTGCTTTTGAGTGCTGAATGAGGACTGGATCGAGAGGGATTGCTGGAAGTCTTTTGCAACAAATGTCAACCATACAACCCAGTGTTGCGGGCTGTCTGAAGGCTCCTAATCACTGGCAGGGACACGACGAAATGGCTCGGGCTCAGAACGAGGCACGCATCACGAGATACCTCTCTTGGGCTTGGTAGGGTTGGTCATGGGCTCCTGGTTGGGAAGTTGGCGCCATCACTATAAGACTTGCCTCTCCTTTTTCAACAGAAGAGGCGTTCCTGGCGATGTGATTTAGCTGCTAGTCTTGCTAAAACACTGCAAACACCATGGTTTTCTGCATGTGCACGCGCTGGCGCCTTTTTTCAACCCCATGAACCAAACGGTTGGCGTGTGGTTGTTTCCTTCTTTCAAAGCCGTCTCTAGGGCGCCGAGTGTTGACCAAACCCCTGGCGTGCGCGGCTTTTTCAGCCGCGATTGGCCATCTCCAAAGTTGAGATGCGAGATGCGGGGCCCGGCGTCTCAATCGGGGCCTGGCTCAAATTGGGGAGAAGGGGGCCAGATCGGTGAGAGTCGAGAGGATCTCTTTTTGAAATGATAGGTTTTTGATTCAAGTCTGTGACAGATGGTGGTTTCCCTTATGGCACTGGTGCCTGACAGGGATCCCCCCCTTTTGAAAGTGTCAGTTTAAGGTTCGCAAAATGAAACATGTTACTTTGTGCTGGGCACGGGGGCCAGAAGCTGAGGCATTTAAGAGGGCAATTGCTTGCCAGCTGAGCAACAATAGAAACCCGGCTCATTGGACAGCTGGCGGCGGCCTGCAACCCTATGTAGGTGCGGAAGGAAATCCGTTTGACTCTTTGTGTGGTTTTTGAGCACGCCCTTTTCACACCTCCGCTTGATTCTTCATGTGGTTTCTAAGCACGCTCTTTTCACACCAGATGTCGGTTACGCCTCTGTGGGAAAGGGCGGCCCTCAAATTTTGAGCTGGAGTCCTGCGGGACGCAAGCGGGGAGGATTATGAGCCGGCAAAGAGTGTTCGGCCAGCGGCAAAATGCGTTGAGACGGAAAACATGCGGAGGACGTACGGTGGATGCCCTAAGTATTGCAAGTAGGGAACAAGGGAACCCTGCAAATCGCATGGATTGTGGCTGGCTTACTTGCAATATTTTGGGCATCCACCGTAGCATGCGCTTAGGTAAGTGGCCCGCGGATTTCCAAGGTCATACGTGGGAAAACCCTGGCAAGGATCAGAATTACACCGACGCTTGCTTTCTTTCGCTTGGAACAGGCAGGCACGCCAGGCGCCGAAACAACTTGCAGAGAAACAAAGTCCCATACCCTGGCTGGAATAGTGCCTTTCGGTGAGTAGGCTATGATCATGGCTTTTTCGCGGGGTAACTGAGGTTGGGCCTCATCACCATGGTCCAAAGCTGCTCGGAAACTGGGATTTGTCCCTGGTGACAATGCTGAAATCAGCGGTCCCTACATCTGAGTTTGTTTTTTGAATATCACCCTTTCGGCCCAAAGGTGAGTTTCCCTGGTTGGGGCTGCCGCTTTGAGTGGGATGGTAGCAGAAGCCTGGAACTTGCCTTTGGGTTGAGCCGCCCTACGACGCGCCAGTGGCGCGTCGAACCCGAGCTCGCGGAACCCGAAATGTGTCGAGGCTCGGAGCCAGCCCCGAACTTGAAGTGGTGCGAGGCTCAAGTCCTGCGGCCCGCGGCTTCAACGTGGGGAGTATTTATTTGGGTGCTAAGTAGCCCATGGCCTCTTTTTTTTTTTGGTTGGGGGGGGGGTTCTGCAAGAAGCCAAAGGGATAAATCAGTTTCAATTGTTGAGTTCCTGGACTTTATGGGAATTAAGACCATTTTAGTGGTAAACACAAGGTTTGGACTGGTTTTGGCGAATCCGCGCAGGCAGTCATCAGGTTTTGTTATGTTCCAGCCGCTGTATTGCTCTCCCAGTTAGTGTACGCCAATGGTTGTTTAGTTGTGTTAACGTGTAATGTGTGTGTGTGTGTGTGTGTTTCTTTTTACGTCTGTTTGTGTATTCGTGTCCCTTTTTGTTCGGTTCGTGAGTTCCGCATGACACATGCTTTTAGCCCAACATTGGCTGCCTTCTTCCACCTTTAAGGTCAGAAACCACCCTGAAAGTGGTCGGCTTCTGGGGGCTTGTCAAGATTTCCTTTGGAGGTTGTTCCCCTTCAAGCCACCATTTAGTGAACGCAGGGGGTTAGGGTGGTGGGGGGGAGGGGAGAAACCGCTGGGACTCCGAAGAAAAACGGACGCCGCGCGCGTCTCCACCGGGGGCAAAGGCCGCGCTCTTCGGGGCGCTGTTGGCCAACGTGCCGGACCCCGCGCTGCGGTCACAGCGCCGCGGGCCAGTTGGGTGAACGCAGTCGAAGGAATTTCAAGGGGAACAACTACCAGGTCCCCCAGCCAGGTGCCCTGTTACCCTTTTTGCGAAAATACTTCCCCTGCTAAAATAGACGTCCTGAAAAAAGTTGGCACCCTTATTCTAACCTCTCTACTGGAGGACCTAGACTAGAACGCCCCAAGGGCCAGGCACTGGCAAAATCGAGGTTGCGTTCAACATTGCAGACTAAGCCTCAGCCGTTTGTTGAAAGACGACTGTTTTTCCCCACCTGACAGGAAGAGGTTGCTGTTTTTATGTTGGAATCCGCGTTTGCGACGACACCACGCCCCCAACCCAGTATCCCGCCAGAGCAGCTCGCCAGTGGATCCCGCCGAGTATCTCGCCAGAGCTGCTCGCCAGTGGATCTCGCCCAGTATCCCGCCAGAGCAGCTCGCCAGTATCCCACCAGAGCAGCCCGCCAGTGGATCCCGCCGAGTAGCCCGCTGAGTATCCCAGAGTGGCTCGTATCCCGCCAGAGTAGCTCGCCAGTGGATCAGCCCACCAGTGGATCCCGCCGAGTATCCCGCTGAGTATCCCGGAGTAGCTCGCTCGTAGATCCCGCCGAGTATCCCGCCAGAGTAGCTCGCCAGTGCATCCCGCCGAGTATCCCACCGAGTATCCGGCCAGTATCGAGCCGGAGCGGCTCAGCATTCGCCAGTGGATCCCGTCAGTGTCCCGCCAGAGCAGCTCGCCAGTCTGGTTTTGCTTAATGTCCCGCCCGGCGCACGGTTGGTTTACATTTCATGTTGGTGCCTTCGTGTTTTGAGTGTGCCCTGAGGCTCGGAAAGGGTGATGCTTTTGTGTTGCTTTGGGTTGCGAATAAGCAACTTCGTTTAATCCCCCGTCGGGTTTCTTTTTGGAAGGGGCTTAGCTCTGCTCAGGGACGGTTTTTTGCTTCGTGCCAACATGGCCGCAATCGTCCTGCAGGCTCAGCAGGGAATGAGGGAATGACCCCTATAAACATTTTTTGTGGTTTCCTTTATTCTAAAATCCCAAAAACTGGTTCATTCCCAACACCCGGACCTAAGGTCATTCCCTACCTATCGCACCAGCACCTTTTTTTTTTTTCAGCTGAAAGGAAACATTCCATTTATGGCCCCATTTCTCCATTTATGGGGAATACTAGAAGCCGTGCGGATTGGAGCCGCCAGGTTTGAGCGGTTCTTGACCTACTGGTCCCGCAGAAAGGACGGCTGGATCGGCCAGCGCCCGGGGGGGGGGGCGGGGAGTGATGGCGAGGAGGTTTTTTTTTTAAACACCAGTGGCTAGGTTCATCCCAGATGTCGCAGGGGTTCATCTGTCTCAACTGCCGGGAAGCGAGAAAAAGCTGGCCACGGGGGATGAAGACGACACATCTTTGGGCGTGCGCGCGCAAATGTGAATGAGGCCACGCCACCTTGTTTTTCTTTATTGGTTGACCGGGATGGCCTTAGGGAAGTCAGGCCATCATTGTACGGTTCCTGTTCGGAGAGCCGTGAGGACCTAAGAAGAAAAAGGTCATGGCTCAAAATGTTTGCGAAGGTGCCACTTCTCGTGTTACGGGCTTGTGTCAAAATGCGGGGGACTCCCTTTAAGCCAATCTGACAAAGGGCACTCGTGGTTCCATTAAAGTGGCATCTTCAAGATTACCCCTCGGAATGCTTACTTTGGACCCAGTACCCCCAAAGAAAAGACAACCCCTCATGACCCGGGCAGCTGGAAGCACACAGCACTTGGACATTCGTGTCATTCCCGAGGGTGCACTCGAGCGGCCATGTGTTTTTGGCGGGTTGAGCCATGGAACCTGTTGAAACCAATTGAAGGGTAGCCCTGAAATTGCAAACCACAGATGGACACCGCCATCTGGATTAATCCAAAGCTGACCTAGGGGTAGGCGGCTTTAGTGAAACCCGCGCAGGAGAAGCAGAGCCCCTCGTCCCCATCGAGCTCCAGTCTCGGTCTAAGCGGCCTGCGCACGCATGTAATGCAGTGGCATGTGTCAAAATGGGTGGCTTATCATATACACACATTGGTGTTTCCAAACTGGGGGTGGATCCAAACAACTGGCTGGGTTCCTTTTGGTTTCCTTTGAAAACCATCCATGGTTGTGGAGATTCCCAATTGTGTTCCAGGCTTGCCAGCCTCCCCCCTCCCCAGCATGGCTCCAATGTAGGGGTCCGCCTCGTGGTTTGATCCTTTGGGTAGGGAAGCAAGTACGTTGAAGTTCCTGGCCTCTACTCACAGGTTACGTTGGAGTGGGGTGCTAGGGTGGGTACCAAACCAGAGACTAGGAGCAAGGCGCATGGTTGCGGAACAAATGAATGACACGAGCATCCCATTCAAACAGATGAAGTATTCCTGCGGGCTGGAATGCCACTTTGCTCTTACAAAAAGGGTTATTATCCAGCGCCATATGTAGATGTTGCAGTTTATCATATTTGTGTACATCATGCAAAGTGTATGAAGCTACAAGTGGACTTTTTGCATGAACCCCTAGTCTCCAGTTCCAATGGCTTAATCCCGCAAGCTGGCCTCAAAGAGGCTTTGCTTGAGGTTTGTGTCCGGGGAGGAGGGGGTGCCGTGACGTTGCCCGTTCCTGCTGAGAATCTGGGAGATCGAAGGGTGAGGGTGACGCAATCTTTTCATCTTTTAGGGAGTGGTTATACTTCAAAGGTTATACCCTGCCCATATGCCATGCCAAATGTCAAGGGGTTTGGGGTGCAGCTCGTTTGGGTGTTTCTCAAAATGTTGGTTCCTTTTTGGTAGGCCAAGGCAAACAAACACAAACCAGAGGGCGCCGATCCCTTGAGACAAAAGCCGCCGCCTGGGATGTTGCGGCGCATTTGCCGAGGCCGCAGTCGCGCAAATCGCTCTTTGGCGGAGACCCTGGAGGTGCGGCTTCGTCAGACCAATTAAATGGGTTCCCCTTGCAAGTCCCTTGAAGACGGGCCCCATGAAGCCTCAAGCACAGACACCCCAAAAGGCCGTTCCCTTCTGAGGGGCTTGGCGACGGTGAGATGATTATTCCTGCATTTTGTTCTGTCTAAATCCGCAATTTTTCCAGTGCAGCCGAAGCAAGCAAGCAAGCAAGCAAGCAAGCCAGCCAGCCAGCCAGCCAGCCAGCCAGCCAGCCAGCCAGCCAGCCAGCCAGCCAGCCAGCCAGCCAGCCAGCAAGCAAGCAAGCAAGCAAGCAAGCAAGCAAGCAAGAGTGACGAGAAGAGAAGGAGAAGAGAAAGATAAGAATAAGGCCGAAGCAGCTGGATGGGACCTGGGGCTGAGAATCTCGAGAAGAGGCAGAACTCTCCCGGAGCTTTTGCAGAACTCTCGCAGAAGCTGTCTCCGCGTGGAAGAGCGCATGAAAGGAAACACTTGGGGAAAAATGCACGGTCCCAGAACTGCTAGCCCATTAGGACCTGGTCCAAGTTTGGGTCGAAATGATGTTGATGCTCAATTAGGAGTGCAATTCTTAATGTCTTAGCAACCCCCGAGTAGTACATGTCGTTGTTGGGCTGGCTAGCTTTCGTTCACCCACCTCTCAAAAGCTCATTCTCCTGGCTGATGAAGCCTCACGCAAGCTGCAGGCGCTGATGTCCAGGCTCAGAGAGGAGCAGACGGAGGCAAAGGGCAACACCGCTTGGACAAGGGCGTGTTTACCCTAAACCCTACGTACCGCGCTCTTTGGTTGGTTCTTGTAGGGGAGAAATGGGAAACCATTCCCTGACCTTCAAGACACCAATCGTATTATCGTTTTGCAGCCTCGGTGGGCCGAGTGTTGACTTAAATGTGTTCCCCAGGCGCGGTGGGCCGAAGTTTTCCGCGAGTTCTGGGTCGTGTGGCGCATCGGGTCTTGCGGCAGGAGGAGAGGCAGAGCTCTGCCGCCAGAGTGCTGAGGTGAGTGGGGAGAGATGGGGCCGGGGGTGTTGTCTGATCCACTGAGACCCGATTTCTTCAGTTGTCCAAAGCGAATGGACCTTTTCAGGTTTTGGTCTGTCGCTTCTTGGCCCATTTGTCAGGCCCTTGGGCAGATTTACCACCCAGGAGGCAACCAGCCTGAAGGCAAATCTTCACTCATCCATTCCTGGCGGAATGGGGCGTTTGGCACACTGTACACGAGATTGAGCCCTGCCGCATTTGCCCTGGTTCAACATCGATCCCTGGGTTCCCTTGGTGTCGCAGACAGGTTAGGATTAGGGATCCGGCCGGTTTTGAACAAGCCACCCAGGCCAGTCGTTGGGGACGCTTTGAAATTTTGACTAGTTAAAGCTCTTTCTGTGTCTCAAAGCTTCGGGAACTTTCGACCTTGTTGATTTCCCCCTGTGTTTCCCAATGGAACCCAAATAAATTAGAGGGTTCCAACCAAACAGAAGAGAGACACCCAGATTTCCCATGGTTGGCTCCTAGCTTCACAGCGCAGGTTGCTGGTCTCCGCGTTTTCCGGGACGGCCAGTGGGGGCCCCGCGGAAACACCGGTCGGATGCGGATAGATCTGAAGCCACCTTTTGTCTCACGCCCTGAGTTCATGAACTTTAGTCACTTTCCTGGATTGGACCGTTTCAGTGGGAAACAGAAAGTCCGGACACTTGGCATTTTTCATCAGTCAAGGTTCCATAAAGGTGAACCGGTCAACCTTTCCAGGTGCCTGGATTTTCACGGGTGGCAAGGATCGTCATTTACCACGCCGTTCTGGTAGGGTCAACTGACACCCCATTTGACATGGCAAACGAATCAGTCGCTGATGAACCGATTCCAAGGATCCGCTGAATGCTTGCTTGACACTTGCAATGCCTGCTTGGAAATGGGCAGGTTACGGCCATGATGTGAAAAGGCCTCAGTTGACACAGTTGAACTCCTGCTTAAACCTACCTTACTTGACGTGATTCGAGCATCTAGGTATGAACCACCAGCCTTTCAGGATGTGCCTTCGAGTGTGATTTTTGGGGCAACCAAAGGGACATCTCTTCCAGGTAAACTGGGGCCTCCCATCTGAAGATACGAACATTTTTTGTGTCCAGAAAAGTGTCACGAACCCCACGAAGCCCCGAATCCCCTTGTGCTCGACTCTCGCCCCATTGGGCCCAGGCAAGGCGCAGCGCCGGCGCGCGCTGAGCCTGGCGCCGGCGAAGGTGGCGGAGGCGCGACTGTGGACTAATGGTTCCTAAATCCCCTTGGGCACCGCTTTGAAGCCATGGGAAGCCATTGTTGGTTGGCATTTACGGCGGAATCACCAGAAACCGGGGTTTCTTAGGTGGTGCGAATTGGATGCTGCAACCACTCACAGTATCACCTTTTGGTTGGCTGAGTTTCCTAGCGTTTCCGAGCCATCACCCTTTTTGGGACCTCCAAAAGTGGAAACACTCGCTTCAACGGAAACCACGAGTAAGTTGATCAACGAATCAGCCTGGGGAAATCCAATGACCCTTGTGTGAACCCGTTCCATTGTTTGTGCATGCCGATTTCCACAACTTTGAGTTGGCAAAAGTTTTCCGGCAAGCCTTGAACCGAACCTTCTTGTTGGAGGGAAGCCGAAAGGTGGTGTTCAACGGAAATTCAAGAGAGTAACAGGAGCGAGAGTATGGCATGGCCATTGCGCAAACCTCGGATTCAGACTGCTTCAGAACCTTTGGCATTGCAACACGGCGATGATTGCGGTTTCTGATTTACTTGGGCCCATCAAAGTGACATGCCTAAAGTTATCCTCCAAATGGTGTCTGAAAGGAAAGGGCTCACCTTGCAACTGCTTTAAGAGATTCGGTTTATGTTGCTTGGGACGTGGCTGTGCCCGCAGCTGCTGTATCTGCATCTGATGAACGACTTGTTCAGAGGCATCTGGCACTGAGACACACAGACACACACAGTGACACGCGCATGGGAATGGGTTGAAATGTAGTGGATGGTTTCGAAATCCATTTCGCACTACCTAAGAAACCATGGTTGAAGCGCCATAACGTTGGTTGGTATTTACGTTGGGGGGTCTCCTCTCATTTCATGGTTTCTGAACGGTGCGATTTCTGGATTTCGGAACCGCCCACACTAAGGGGCTTCCAAAAAGGCCTCGAGGTGGAGAACACAGCAACCTCTTTTCTCCCTTGGAAAGGTTGCAAGTTGCGAGATGTTCGCTGTCAAGTGTTCAGTACTGCTTCCCTGAGATCCTGACGGGTTCTGCCAGCCACCGGGTTGAAGATGTTGATCCCTACTCAGAAGCCGGTGGCCGAGGGGGTTCTTTTCACTGGCTATGTCAAAAAACACAGTTTCAACTTTGAGAGGACACCCACAAACCTGCTAAGTTGTTCCTTTGGGAGGGCTTGGGGCCTCTTGTGTTGGCAGAGGCAGTGCGATCGGCTGAGGCTCGTGCATTGTTTCTAGAGAGCTTGGCACCTGCGTGGACGTGTCAACAACTTGTTCAGAGGCACACGGCGGTGAAGGCTACAACAAGTTGCAAGATGTTGGCTGTCAAATGCTTCGGGTTCCAGCGACCTGTTTGAACATGTTGAAACCACTCAGCCCAGTAAGGGGACAAAGGCGTGCTGTTTTTGGTTGACGAGAAGGAAGGAGGCTTCCTTAGGGGACGGACGGGCGCGACATCCAGGGTCGGCGAGCCATGCCGCCATGAACCGGCTGGAATTGTGTGATGAATCGAACCGAGAGTTGGATGGGTTCAAAGGAAGCCAGAAGCAAAGCATGTTGAGGGGGGCGCGAGTGTTGAGATTTTCTTTACAATCCGTAGAGGTCGCAATCGTCGAGTTCAACCTTGTGGCACAGATACTGAGTAGTCGCTGGTCCATCCAGTAAATGAAAGCAACGGCTTGGGAGCATGGCAGACTGCTGCAAGTGACCCTGGAAAAAGCGTGGCGTCCGCAGACGCGCTACTTTTAATTGAGCCTTAAGGGACCGACTTTTTTGTGAAATGCCAAGGGGCCCACGGTCGGAAGCCTGCGGATGGTTTTTGAGCAGTTTTTGTGAGCAGTTTCCTTCGCAGAACCTCTGTGGAAAGTGTAGGAAGCTAATCTCCAAGAGCCCCAAAAGGCTAAGACTAGGTTGTTAAGAGAAACTGGCGAACACTTAGAACACCGTTCAATTGAATCAGGTGCTTTGGCGTCGGGGATTTTGGCCGAGGCCAGACAAATTGTCGAGGTCGGAGTGGAGCCCGTGCATTGACGCGGTTCTGCGGAACTGCATTGCCAAGCCTTGCTCAAGCGCCGCATCAAAAGTGGGGAAATGACACCTTTTGCACCTGGCTCTTTGAGCGTCTGGAGGGTTGGGCAAAATAAGAAGTGTGCAATCTTTGCTAAACCTATGACTTCGCACGGTACTTAAGTAGGGCCTCAGATGCATCATAGGGCGTCGCGGCCAGACAACTCATGCCAATAGCCAATACATTGTCGAGCTTGGAATGGAGTCCGTGCACCGCTGTCTAGCACTGCGTTGCCAAAGTGTTGCAAGCATTGCGCCAGCACCGCACCTGCTTGGCGCTCGAGCACGGTTCTTCTCAGCTGCCCGCGGTCCACTGCCTGAAGCGCGATGCTGTGATGCGAAGCCCCTTGATGCAAGCGTCAAGTTCCGAGCAGTGAGCAAGTGGGGGGCTGCTGCGTTGTTGTCATTGCTTTGCTAAACCTATGATCTCGCACCAGGCCGCGCCATATTTGGGTAGGTGGCCTCAGATGCATAGGGCGAAGGCAGACAAATGACGCCAACATATTGTCGAGCTTGGAATGGAGCCCAGGCATTGCGCCTGGAGGGTAGCGGTTGTCGCCCCTCGCAGCTGGAAAGTGCAGCTCGGTTGATTTTTGGCTCAACATGGGCAGAGCTGCAGTTTTTCACTACCTGCAATGTGCCACGCTGCTGGGATTTTGCCAGCAAGCGCGCAGCTCACAAGGACCTCTATTACCTCCATGCAATCCATGGAGCTTGGCAGTGCTTTCCTGCGGCCGTGCCAAGATCACTTTACCCCGGGCGGATTGGAACCCATTAAGTAAAGGTCATAGAGTCCTCAAAGAAAGCAGAACGCCGTGCAATGAATGCCAGCACGATTTATTGAACCGGAATGGGGGGCCTCCCGGAGAGGACCCTTAAAAAAAATGGAACTGTCACTTTGCCTTTTTCTTTGGGTCACCTATCCAAGCCACCAGACATTTCCATCCTCTTGTGCGGCGGGTTGCCGTTTGCAGCCCCCGTGACCTAGCCTGTTTGTACGCCCTCGCAAAAACTGCAAAAGAACAAACATATGCGCGCCCACTCAGGTTTTCGCACTGTGCAATGCAAGTTGCGGCATCTATGTTGAATCCAGGGCAGTGGTCAAGTCCGGGGAAGTTACACATCATGCACTTGGCACCATTGGTTCTGCTGCGCTGCGTTGCCAGGCGTTGCGACAAGCACCACAGCCAGCTAAATCACGATTTGAGAGCGTCTGGCGGGGTGGGTGAAAAAAGAAGTGCGCTTTGAACCCTTGGCACCCAGTAGGCCCCAATGATGCCCAAAAGCGCCGAATAGCAACCAACAGCTCTTGACGGGGCCCAGAAGCTCCTTCTTGCTGCAATCAATGGTGCAGGACAGGTCTACGTATTCTCCCTGTGCTAATGCTCCATTCTGCTCATGACTGATGCTGTGATGCAAAGCCCCTTGCTGCAAGCGTCAAGCTCCTAGCGCTAAACTGATGGCTTCGCACGATTTTTGTGTAGGCTTTCGCTGCATAGGGCTCCAAGGGCAGCCCAATGACTATTGTCGAGCTTGTTGTCGGAAAGGCTTCAACCAAGCCCGCATTCTCCAGTGCCATTTGTTGTCTGGAACTTGGCGGAAAGTCCTGGACACACGGTTCTTCTCAGCCCGTTGCCAAGCCATGTGCTGCAAGCGTGCGGTTTCGAGCACACCGGCAAGTGGGGCTGACATGCCGGCACTGCTTTGCTGAACGGAACCTTGCCCTCGCTAGCTCTGCCTTCAAGGCCAGACTTTCCAAACTCTTTAAAGTAAAGTTGTAGGCCAAACTGCGTCAAGAGGATTCATGGCGGCTCAAGAATCATTTTTTGGAGCATAATGTCAAATCTGTCGATCAATGATGCCACTTCATACCCAAGCAAGTAAAATCGCGGCCCAATCGCTAGTTTTCCTTGAGCTTGCAGTTGGAGGTAAAGGCGAGGCAGGAGCTTGATGTGCGCCCAGGGGACAGGGCAATTTCCAAACTGCCGGAGCCTCGGCCTGTAAGCAAGCCAGATGCTTCCAAGGTTAAAGCTTGGTTGCATGCTGGAACGGGCTGTGCCGAAGTGCAACTCGCGGAGAAGCCTTTTCACTTAGAAGAGCCCTTCGCAGACACTAATTAAAATACATGTCCAACCGGCGTGGCCCAAGTTATGCCCTAAGCAGTTGCTGCCGCAGAGACCCTTTCAGGCAAATGCGCAAGCGCCTTCGCCAGAGTTGTAAGCGTTGCTGCCCGATTTGGCAACATGGGCTGTTCTGGCTAAATGAATGGATTTTCTCGATAGCGAGCCAGGTTTGGCCTTTGCTGCAGGTGCCGCTGCGTGAGCCTGAAACAGAGTTTCGGCACTGCTTGCAAGCTTTGAGGGCAAGAAGAGAATTCGTGGCTCGGCGAAGCATGCTCCGGCCGCGTTCATGAGAAGCCGTGCTCGAGCCTGCCGCGCGTCGACTTGCATCAAGGAAATGTGCAGCTCACGCAACACAGCGTCCAAGCCGGTTGCGTGTTTTGAAGGGCCAGACTTCAAGAACAGGCGCAGCTCAAGACTCTTCAGCTCAGCCGGGAGCCCAAGGCCAAGACACACATGACCTCTCCAGCCATGCTCAAGTTGTAGTTGGTTGTCAGGGGAAGTCTCAGGACAAGCTGAAATGGGAGAGGCCGAGCCAGCATTTGATGCTGTCGAGCTTTCTGTGGGCTGGCACAACTTCCACGCCGACCAAACTGAGTTGCAGCGCTGCAGGATCGTGGCTGGGCGCGCCGAGTTGGTGCGTCTCAAAATCAAGAGCTGCCTCATGGCTTTGCTGTGCTTGGGCTTTCTTTGGAAGACTGCCCGATATTGCGCTCACTTATTGCATGGGCTGTGACACTCTGTGACCAAGTGAGCTTGGTGTTTTTACCCGGTCATTTTACCAAGAAAGCCGGTGGAGATGCTTGCAACAAGTGCGTGGGACTGTCGCGGAAGATTTGCGGAAGGGCCTGTGTAGGCGGAGTTCTGCGGAAGGTTTGCAGAAGGTTCGCGTAAGCCGAGACGTAGCCCTTCCAGGCTGGGCTACGCCTCATTCAGCCTCGCGCAGCTTTCGAACCCGCATGGTTTGCTTGCCTGATTTTATTGCGACCCCCCTTTACTTTTGGTAGCCAGTTTGACCCTGGCTCCAAAGCCCATTGCCAAGCCAGCCTATTGGTAACCTTTGCCGGAAGCAATGGGAGCAAAGCTAGGCCAAGAGTAGCGGAAGCACTGAAAGCGTGCCGGAAGCCTTAGGGGTGCCCATTGAGGGAGCCATGACCGCAGGAGTTTGTCGCCTTGGCTTTCTCTGCGCACACGCCCCAGGTGGCTAGCCTGGAGCCTGAGTACACTCCACTGCGTTGCCTTCTGGTCGCTGCCGTCCAACCGCTGCCCGCATTTTGCCTTCCGAAAGGGGCGGCAAAATGCATGCTGCTCCAATCACTTTGCTGGGCAGGCAGAACTGGACAATCAAAATTGGCTAGGCACCTCCCCTTATCCATTTTATTAGGAGGGCGCCAAAACTACATGTTGGGTCACATGTTGTTCTTTGTGTACGCCGGCCTTTCACGCAAAGTTGCGGCTGGTGCGGTGTACCGACACTCCATGAAGCAACGTCCTAGCGTCACTCCCAAGAAATAGCCTAAAGTTGCGAGTGCTACGTAGAGGGCAGAGCTATGAAAGAGGGGAAACACTCGCTTCGCATCCCCTGAAAGGCGGTAGGATGCTTCCATTCAACCTGGCCTTTGTCGCAGGGGCCTTTCCCTTTTTATCTTTCACATGCAGTTTGCTTTTAACATTTCTTTGTGACTAGCAGCCACTCTCAAGCTTGACTCCGCCAAGGTTCATGGGCAAACTGAGCGGTGTAAGCCGTTGCACTTTAGATCTGGTTGTTTGAGCAAAAAGCTGAGAGCTGGGCCCCGGTTAGGCCATTGAGCTTCCAGCAGGGAGCATCATGCATTGCATTCTAGTTGGGTTGTGCCGCGCTGAAGTGACACAAGCCTGGGCCTGCCAAAAAAACGAAACCACCCCCATAACCTCCTGCAATGCCGCAGTTTGACTTTGGCGCTCAGAATTATGCAGCGCTCTGTGCGCCGCCAAGGCCGGGGCCACTCGAGCCTCCCATTCACACTGCGAATTCCCTGCAAGGTGTCGAACTTTGCGCGGCTCGGCTCTTTGTGGCCTGACTTCGCATCTAAAGGCTTTGGGCCTGCAGAGAACGACGACTGTGTGCTTGAGCTTCCTGCACCGTTGCCTGAAGCGCCGTTGCCACGTCATTGACCGCGAGCTTAAAGTTCGGCGCTGCAGCATGCGGACGAGTCTGTTGGCTGGTCGCCATGTTGGCAGAACGTGACAGCGCCCTGCCGCGCGCCACCGGGCGCATGCTACGCCTTACGTGCGTAACAGAGCTGCGCATCAACCCGCTCGATTTGCCACGCCGCTCGTTTGAAGCGGACGCAGCTGCCTTGCCATTCCTTGGCCTTTAGTGCAGCGCGCCAGCTGGATCCCACCCCAGATGCGGGCAAAAGACAGTTTGACTTTAGCGCTCAGAATTTTGCGCTTGCCGAGGCATGGGGAAAGCTTAGGCTTTGCGACCACAGTGACAGGTTTGGCTCCTCGGGCCTCCCTTTCACCCTATGAATTCCCCAGGAGAAAGTGTCGAAAAGCGTGGCTCGGGTCTTTGCAGAGGCCTGACTTTGCATCCAAAGGCTTGCGCCTTGAGGCCAGCTGCGCCGAATGCTGGAAGCTCACCTGGAGGGTTCGCGGGAGGGCTTTGGCTTTCAGCCTTTTGAGCTGAGTGTCCGAGATGGCTCGGAGCATCCTCTTATAAGCGTCTTGGCTGACCTGACCGGCTCGGATCTCGCCAAACCGCGGGCTGAACAGGAGGCAACGCGGCCAAAGCCCCAACACCGCATTCCCGAAGCAAGGCCCGAACGATTTGTGGCGCTTTGAATTTGACCCAGCCAGGAGCTTAGCGTGGTTGCACGGGGGTGCGCTGAGCACGACGGCTGTTTGCTTGAGCCGCTTGCATTCGTGCCTGAGTCGCAGTTGCCATGTAGAGAAGTTGGCAGCGGGGCTACCGGTGCTCCCTGGGAGCTTACATTCAGCCACGGCCGTGTGACAGCCTGTGACAGCGCCCAGCCGCGCGCCACCCGGCGCATGCTACGCATTGCGTGCTTGACAGCCCTGCGCATCAACCCGTTCGATTTGCCTCGCCGCTTCTTTGAAGCGGGCGCAGCTGCCTTGCCATTCGTTGGCCTTTAGCGCAGAGCCTCAGCTGGATGCCGGGGCAAAAGAGTTTTTGCATGGGGGGTTTGTCCTTTTTTGATGTGTTGAGTTGCTTCAAAAGGCAGAAGGTGGGACCTCCCCGAATCATACCCCCGAATCATACCCCGAATCATACCCCGAATCATACCCCGAATCATACCCCTTAAAACGTATGCTGCAAGATGCTACTGGTCTTCTACCGTTTTGTGTTGTTCACTGCCTCCACAAGAACCACCACCAGCGCTACCCAATACTACCACTACCATTACTACTACTACTACTGCTACTACTACTACTACTACTGCTACTACCACTACTACTACTACTACTACTACTACCACTACAACTACTACTACTATTACTACTACTACTGCTACTACTACTACTACGACTACTACCTTTATTACTACTACTACTACTACTACTACTACTACAACTACAACCTTTACTACTACTACTCCTCCTACTACTACTACTACTACTACTACTACTACTACTTCTTCTTCTACTTCTACTACTACTATTCCTGCTGCTGCTGCTGCTACTACTCGCTACTACTACATACATCATTCTGAGTCGGACAATGAGCTTCCCCTGCCAAGGCTAGTGCCAAGTCTTTTTCAAAGCGTCCGCACCACTACAGCCGCTGCTGCTTTTGCTACAGCTGCTACCACTACTTCTGCAACTGCTACTACTACTACTACTACCACTACTACTGCTACTACTACTACTACTACTACTACTACTACTACTACTACTACCGCAGCTACTTCTACATTCATCATTCTGAGTTTGTAATCAGTGCCGTTTTGCGCCTAGCCGAATCATACCCGTGAATCATACCCGAATCATACCCGCGCAATGAACTTGCCTTGCCAAGGCCAGCGCCAAGTCTTTTCAAAGCTTGCGCGCCACTACAGTCGCTGCTTCTACTGTTCCTACTACTACTACTACTACTACTACTACTACTACTACTACTACTACTGCTACTACTACTACTGTACTACTACTACTCCCACTACCACTACCACCACCACCACCACTGCGACGACTACTACTACTACTACTGCTGTTACTACTACAATATTACTACTAGTAATACTTCTTTGACGACTACTGCTGCTTCTACTTCTACTGCTGCTGCTGCTGCTTCCGCGAATCATACCCCCGAATCATACCCCGAATCATACCCGCGAATCATACCTGCGAATCATACCCCGTACTCAAACCTTCCTGCCCGGCCCCCGTAAAACAATACAAACCCATATCTGTTTTTTGCATGATGAACCGAACAAACCAAGGCCCAGTCCTTGTTTGTGTTTTTAACCAGGTTCCTGGTCGGACACAACATGCGGCTTCCCTCATGGGAATTCGACCGTGGGTCAGTCCTCGAGTGTGTTGGGAATCTGCCCCGGGCTACTGGCTGAACATTGAATAGATCAAGGACAGCGCTACTTCTTCCTCCTCCAAGATCTGGAGGGCATGGTTGGCATTGTGGCAAAACCAGCCCATTTGTTCAGCGACGCTAACCCGGAAAGAATTGGTCCCTGCTTCTACTTCTCGGGTCGCTGGGTGCAACTGGGGCGTCCAAGTGCCCCACCGATGTTTCGGCAAGGGTGAAAGTAGATGGCGCAATTCTCCTTTACCTTTATGTGTGCAAGCAAAGGGGATTATTCAATCAAGAGTCGCATCTACGTCCACCCGGTGTATTCGAACCGACGTGGGCAAATTGTCCCATTTACTTCACCCGTTTAATGTTCAGTGGGACGCCGCCCCCGCATTCTTTGAGGCCTTGGCCGCAGTCGCGGGGGCGGACGCGAGCCTTTTGGAGACTTACCGGGAGGCGCGCGCGCTTTGGGTGTCTCAAACCACTGCTTGCAGGACGATTGGGCCCCCCACCCACTAGGAATGTTCTTTCAGGGATTTTCGAGGAAGTTAAGCGCACTTGTAGGGAACTCTGGTGTGTCCCTCTTTGGACAGTCGCTGGTTGTCAGCAGGGAATTTCAGGAGAATGGGTCTCAAGGGATGGTTTTTACGGGTCATCCCCTCATCCCCTAGCAAGTTCAAAGGAGCTAATTAGGGCTAATTCACACATACAATGTGGCCGTTTAAAGCGAGACTGTTTCCACCAGGCCCAAAGGGAATCCACCACGTTTTTTGGGGCAATGTTCAGGTAGAAAATCTATATGCCCCTGTTAAACAAACATGTTTTCGCAGGTGCAAGTGGCTGTTCACGGGGATGCCCGCTTCTCGTGTTCCTGATTCTGGCGGTTACCATTGGCGAGCGCAAGACGGGTCCTTGTTTGGGCGCAAGACGGGTCCTTCTTTTGGCCCGTCAATATTCAAGGTGTGGCAGGGCCGGCTCCCAGTCGGGGAGTACCACTTGGATGTTCAACCCGCTTGGGTCAGATGATGATTATCCAGGAGAACAGGGTTCTAGTTCCGTTAAAGCCATGGATACCCATTTACATGGGCAAGGAAGAACGCGGCTGAGGCGTTTGACAGTTGATCGGCGGCTGTCCCACTGAGGCAATTTGTCACTGAGTGAACATTCCGCTATGAATCCGCCAGGGTAAGGGGTCCCTTAAAGGGTGCGTTTGGACCAACTAGAAAATCACCTCTACCAACTGACTTAGAGGATCCTAGTCCCCTTGTGAATAGGCGTCCATAAACCATCCCGTGCTCAGGGCCTTGATTCGTTCCTTCCTTTTGGACATATCGTAGAATTTGCAGATTGCTTGTCTAAAGTCTAAACCCCTTGTGTGCACCGAAGCAAGAGTTCACCTATGGCGTACATGATGGAAGTAATCATCAAAAAGGGTCCAACTCCAAGCAATGGAACCCCGGATGTATAAACCTATCCTTTTAGTAGGGGAGTATGTGTTTCCCAAAAACGATGATGCCCTACAAAACCAGGGGACATGATGCTCCATCAAAAATCTAACCCCGGGTATTACTCAACCGTGATGGATTAAGCCAAACCACTTCCCCATGCAGAAACTCCTAGGGAAACCATTATGTGTTGGTATTTACGGGGAAATCGTATCATTCCGTTGGGTTTCCTAGACCGGTGGTGAATTTCTGGATTTCGATTTCAACCATCCACCGTAGGGTTGATGAATCCGTGGCTCCCATCAGGGGTGTTGTGACGACCCGAGGCTTTGCCTCAGCTCCTGGCGCCAGTGGTGCCTGAGCCCTCCGCAGCACAGCTTTGGCAGGCGCTGCCAGGCGCGGGGAAAAGTCGGGGGCCACGGGCAGTCGTCGCCACGTGGAAGCCAGGGGGTTGGGCCCGGGACGCGTGGGCTGCGGGTCTGCGGGAGGTTGGAAGATGGCTGGGGTGCTTACAAGGCGGCAAGTGCCATGGCGCGTAGGGTGCATTGAAAACCCTCGTGTCAGGCATCGTTGGCTGGCGGGTAAGGGTAACTCCCCCATTTTTTGGTGGCCTTAAATCCAAGGAATCCAAGAATCCAAGGACCACAAAAAAGGAAGAGGCACCAGTTTGGTGGCTGGGCTAAAAAATTGAAACAAGGACACCCATGCGTCGGACTTGGTGGGCCTGGGAGGCGCTCCGGCGCCGGTGCGCCTGGCATTCCTGGAGGCCCTGGCGGCCGAGGAGGCGGGGGAGTGGTGGGTGGGGCCGAAACGGGGGAGTGGTGGGTGGGGCCGAAACCCCCGGTTTTGGGGGCGCCGGTTCTGGTTAAACCCATGAGCTCCTGGGGCTTTCAATGGACCCGACCCCTCCATTAACACACTTCGGAGGTGGTTGGAGGTTTCAACAGCTGGCGGTTTGAGGGACCTAAAGGAGCCGGGAGCCTCTGGGAATCAAGTACACCGAGAAAGACGCAGACCGGGTCCCGAGCGTCGGGTGCCATGTAAAAAAGGTGGGAGGCTAACAGCTGCTTTTGGCGGAGGCCTTTTCCTCCATTTGCTTAAGACCATGTTTTATAACTCCCCTTGTTGGTTTTAAAAGGGAATCGACTTCACTACTGAACGTAGTTCTTCTTCTTTTCCAGGGGCGAACAATCAAAGTTGCATTGTTGATGTTTTTTTGTGAACAATATGTTCTTCCGCTACTTCCCTGTTTTATATCTTCGCTTGTTGGTTGCTGCTGTTATCTTTTTGGTTGCCACGGGCGGGCTTCCCGGGCGACACACGCAGGTGCGCATGTCCGGGCCCGCGGGCGCGGGCGCGCGCTGGCGCGCGGCGGGGGTGGAGCTGCGGGCGGTGGCTGGGGCGCCCAGGGGCCGAAAACGCGCCGAATAAGCCGTCGATGGGAAAGTCTGGGGGTGGCTTCCAGGGATCCGTAGATGGCAATTGGGTGTGGCTCAAAATTAGCCAGGAGGGGCAAACCGCAGGTTTTGGTCCATGTTTCCACTTGCCAGGGCAAGCTATTTGGTACAGGTTTTTTGAGCCATAGCCAATTAGGTAAAACACGGGCGGGAAAGCATATGAACCCGGAACATCTTATTTTAATGGCCTGCTTGGAACGGGTGAACCTGTTCACCAGGTTCCTTCACAAAAACGTCGAGGGGTAACTTACCCCACTCTTTCCAGCTTTCTAGAAAACCACCAAAAACCCTGGTGAAATGGCGATCGGTTTTTGAAAAGAACGATGGCTGAAAAGAATGGGGAATCAACCCCTAGAAAAATGATCTTTGGCTTTTGTTTCTGGGGAGGGGGCTTTGCAGTTGTTGTTTAGGGGAGCCCAACCCAATGATGTTTATTCCCCAACAGCTGAAAAATTGGGGTCTCAGCCCAGATAGGCTCTGGGGTGGTCCGGGGCGGCACTGAGGTAAGGTTCCACGAGGGTTCCACCAGGGATCCACCAGGGTTCCATCAGGGTTCTACCAGAGTTCCACAAGGTTCTGCGAGGGCTGCGGGGTGGTGCAATGGCATGCTTTTACAAAAGCCCCCAAACTTGGTTGTATCACTCCAGTTTGGAACGAAGAATGTGTCTTAATTGCCTCTTATATTTTATTTGCCCCTTTCGTCTTGCTTGCCAAGCCAGACTTATTGGCTTTGCCGCCCCTTATGGGCTGTTTCCCCTCCGTTTAAAGCCCTTGAATAAACGTGGTTCACTGCGAAACCCTTTCCAAGAGAAAAGTCGTCTTGGCGTTTTTGCGCGTCAAGCCATGTTGGATGGTCAGGTTGCAAGTTTGCAGGTTTTCAGCATCACTTTTCTGTGGTTTCGGCTTTCCACCTCAGGAATTTGGGGACCGGGTTCGACTGCCGGGATTCCGGGTGAGGGGAAAGGCTTCTCGTGTCGGAGTGCCCCTTTTGCCAGGGATCTTTCACGACCAACGATGTCTTCGCGCATTGAAACTTTGGATCCCTTGCCGCCAGCCCCTGCCGAGCGGCAGCTAGCCACCGACTCTGCCGGGGGGGGGTGGAACGGCGGGGTTGGGGTGGAGAGGTGGAGTTTGGGTGGAGCTGGGGGTGGGGGGTGGGGGGTGGGGGGTTGGATCGATTGATGGGGCAACCGGCCCTTTTGCGCTTCAAGGTGGATGCCTGCATTGACTTCGTTTTCCGCGAGGAGCAGGACGCAGGGATCTGGAAGTTGCAAGAATCCTTTGGAGAGATCAGGGTTTGCTTGGGTCATTGAGGGAACTTGCAAAGGAGAGCGAACTGTGCTTGAGGGAACTGGCAAAACAGAGCGAACTGTGGAGGGCCAACCCGATTTGGTGATAGCAATCCAGAATGGTTGTAACTGAGGTAGCTGGGGTTAGTTTTCTTGTAACCATTGCCATGATTTGCTTACCGTCCAGGATTGCAGGACAACGAGCCAATATTTGCTGAAGAGCTGAATGATCCGCGTTTCCGCGTACAGTTCAAACGTTACGTGCATACACGTGTTGCACACGGGCCTTCACATTGTGGGGGCGCGACGGCGGCGCCTTGATGCAACCCCTGAACCCGCGTTCAAAGGAGGCTAACACCACACCATTTCATTTGGGAAAGGGGGCGAAGTTGAACTTGTTACTGCCCAAAGGGGACCAGCTGCATCTCGGACTTGGGATGGAGAATTCCAACCTGGCAATATTAATGAGGGGTCCAAAAGCGTCCCTTGATTTCGGAGCTAGCTTCCTTTGGCCTAAGATCTGTATTTGTTTGGGTTCCTTTGTAATTTGGGGGGACGTGGCCACGACTTGTCAATTCACACGTGTTTTGCGGCAGCTTGAGGCAGAAGTTCGGGACTCAGCTTGCGAATGACGCCAGGAGGAGGAGTTCTTCCGTCACGTGCCCGCCGGGGTCCCTGGAATTCGGCGTCTTTCCGCTCTGCGGAGTTCCGGGTTCCGATGTTTGGCTCGACCTTTTTCAGGTCACCGAGGCTAACGGATCTCCACCCCAAGCTGGGCGAAGGTAATAGCTCCGCAAGATCCTGACCTTGGCTACGCAAGGATAAGGGCTGCCCCTTGGCAGCGGCTTCCTACGAGGGATGAGGGAAAATCGGATTGGCCAAGCCCCCATTTTGAACAGAGAGCAGGCCAGAAGGGGATTCAAGGCGCGAGACGCGGAGGTACCCGAGCTTGCGGAACGGATTACGGAGCAAACCCTTGTTTAGTCTGCCAAATCGCCCAGTAGTTTGTTTCTGTGTCCAGAAGGAAGCCAAAAGGGCATATGACAACTTGCTTTTTTCAGAGGCCCCATGTAGCAGCCAGAGATTCTTTGGTCATATTTGGATCCCCCGTGTAGCCCCTAGCACCCAGAGGGTCCACCCGGCGTCTGAGAGTAAACGGGTCTGATCTCAGGTGCCCCGAAGGCCTCGCAATAAGCGGGGCTTCCGGCTGAAGCACAAGAAGGCCACGGTTGGATCGGTGGCTCCGAACCGCGTCCAGTGTGTTTCTTCGTGTTTGTTTGTCTCTTTTATTTCTTTGTTTATTTGTTTGTTTGTTTAGTTTGTTTAGATTGTTTAGTTTGTTTCCTTGTTTGTTTGTTTAGTTTGTTTCTTTGTGTGTTTGTTTAGTTTGTTTTTTGTTTTGTTTGTTTGTTTGTTTGTTTGTTTGTGTGTGTGTTTGTGTGTGTGTGTGTATCTATTTGTCTGCTTGTCTGTGTTTGTTGCCTTTTTTGCTGCTTGCAAAAGATACCCCGAGCTCCCGCGGAGAGTCCCCAGTCAGGCAAATTCAGTCATGTGCGGGACCCTCAAATGGGAGGGTGGTCAACTTGTGATGCATCTTTAATCAAGAGCAAAGCGTCCCCTCAAAAAACCACATTTCTTTGTGGCCCTGCCTGTGCTGTCCAATGGTTTTGGCCGCGCGAGAGAACTCCTTGAAGGCCCTAACTTCGGTTTACGTTGGGGTGCCCGATTTTTGGAGGGTGCTCTTTTTGTGGATTGAATTTTGGGAAGGGAGCCAGGAGAGAAAGCGCTCGATTTTGGGGGCCCTGGTATTTTGACACTGTACTTATTCTGCAAGAGGACGCTTGAAGTTGCAGGAGGACGCTTGTGACATTGTTCACTAGGTCCCCCAGTGGTGCCTTTTTACAATTTCTTTTTTTTGGGGAGGGTTCCCCTACCAAAATAGACAACAGAAGAAAGTTGGTACCCTTATTCTAACCTCTCAAATCTGGAGGACCCAGTTCAGAAAAGCAGCGCAGCAAGCCAACGGCCAGGATTAGAGAGGCTCTAGGGGTTGAGGGATACTTGCACAGGACGCCCTCCATGAAATTGCCTATAGATTCTGGGAAAGCTGCGCCGAGCTGACGCGCAAGCTACGAGGGTCTCCCGGGAAAACGTTCGGTGCCACCGAGATCCGCTTACTTTTGGGGCTGGTGAAGTGGCATCCTCCCATGAGATGCCGGTCTGCCGATCCCGAGGCAGGGCTCTGGCCCCGGGCTGAGGGTCCTTCTTTCTTTTTGTGGTTTTTACGGTCGGGAGTTGGACGTTGCCTGCCCAAACCGTAGGGAGATAGGGAGATATCCCTTGATGCCCTAGGCGAGTCCATGGGAAACTGATCAGGAGACTGACGGATTTCACTGCAGTCGTTGGTTCTGACCATGTACCCTCCCACCCTGTTCACGTGGAACCCTGACGTTTCGGGGGGTCCTGGCTTGGACCATTTTCTTCTAAAGGGACCTCTCAGGTTCCATGTGAATTGGTGGGAGGGTACCAGAACCCACGCATGTTCGGCCGCATGCTTTTGGTATGGCGAGCCCATCGAGTTGGCCTCTCCATTGAGTGTGGAAAATGGGCCCGTGCACGGGCCTTTTCTTCGCACGGATCGGGTCCCGAGACAGTCCCTGAACTGGAATCCTAAGCCGTTTGCCAAGGTGGGGGCCTTCCACCGCCGTCCGGCTTTCAGGCGCGTTGGCTCTGCGCACATGGCGTGTGCCCCCTATACAACATCCAGGGATGCGAGAATGCGTGTTGCCACTGGCGAAGTTCATCTTGCAAGCCACATAGTAGGACTCATCAGCAGGGCATATGGGGTATGTGTCAAGAATGATCTTGGTAAGAGTTCCTCCTAGCAGCCTTTCAACATAAACACACAAACGATGTGTCAAAATACGGTGGTGGTGTTCCTTTTGGTTCCCTTTCAGCTCACCCAAAACGTGTGCCTTGCGCCTGCAAAAAAGACACCGACGGCAGGCCAGAGGGCTGGGTTATTGCTGCTCCTTGGAACCCAACCTTGGGAGACGTAAAGGTTCATAGCCTTAGGTTACTAACTTAAGAAGGTGTGAACGCCATGGCAACTAAACCAAGCAAACCAATACCAACACAAAGAAACGGACTCCAACCAGACCAAACCCCAGTGGTTCAGCGGCACCTGGTTACCAGATACAACTTCGCATTGCATTACCAGACTCAACTTGCCTTTTTGCATTTTGCCTAATTGGGTTTTCCTGCATTTTCCCGTGCACGCAGTTGGAATGTGTTGTCTCCAAGTGCCCGGCCTCGTCAGGGCCCCAGCTGGGCTTGCCCCGCAAGCCGCTCTCGGCCGAGGAGGGGGCCAGACGTTTGGTTGAAGGTTGACCATCCTCAGCTGGTGATTGGAAGGGAGCCGAAAACGGAGCTGGGGGTATTGAAATGGGTGCGGCTCAAGAATCAAGAGCTAGGGCAAACCGCAGGTTTCAGTGCTTAGTTATATTTACCAAGGTGCCGTTGTGGGCACCGTTTTTGTGAGACGCACCCAAATTGGCCCAAGAGGGAGCGACTTTTCAGGAGCTCTGTAAGGACATGGTAGTTCCTCGCCTGATAGAGGTGCTAAAACCACAACCAAAATTGTTTTAGCTTCTCCTTGGTGAGATGTTGAAGAGGGACATGTAAGGCACCTTGTCTGAGTCGTGGAAGAGGAGGGATGCTTTTGCCTTGGCGGGGACTGGGAATTTTTGCTTGCTTTTAGGTTTCAACAGGTCCCAGTGGCGCATGTGCGGCAGTCCAATAATTGTAAACGCTTTGCGTTGCCCGCCTCGGCCAGAATGCTTTTGGCTGGCTTTGAGGTACTGTGTGTTGGCTTGCCTTGAGAAGTGTGTTTTTTTTGTTTTTGCTTGAACGGCGCCGAATGCGCAGGGTGCACGTTATGGCCTCAAGGGCTAGATAGAACAAGAGCCGCAGTCAGAGAGCCACCGAAAGGCAGTGGATTGGGGCCCAGCGAAGCCTGCGAAGGAAGTTTAGAGGGGGTTTGATTCTATTTGATTGGTTTCTAGAGGGGAGCTTGACCGGTTTCTATGTTGACTTGACTGGACTCGGGCCGGTGTGTCAAGGGGTTGGCTGGTTTCCAGAGGGGAGCCGGCTTCTAGGGAATTTGACCGGTTCCTCCTCGCATTTGACAGGGCTCCTTGAAAGATACATTTTGCCAATTTGAAACATGGCTTTTTCTACCAGAATAAAGGGATACCGCCATTTACAAGGCAATGTTCAGGTGTATAGTGTAAGGATCCTTGTTTGACTGGAGTTGGATCGGTATGTTAGGAGTTGATTGGTTGCTTGAGGGAATTTGACCGGTTTCTCGGGGGTTTGCTTGGTTTCTAGAAGATTTGACTTGGAGTTGGACCGGTTTGAGGGTGGTTTCAGAGGGGACTTTGGCCGGGGTTTATCGCCGAGTCGGACCGGTTTTTGGAGGGGATGTGCACGGTTTCTCCGAGGGCTTGTCGCGAGGGAAAGGGTCGACCAGGCTCGCTTCAGACGGAGGCAGCTGGAGCAATAATTTGTTTGGGCTGCAAGATGGGGGGGGGGGGGGCAGACCCATTTTGAAGTGGGGAAGGGTGGGGGAGGGTTGGGGTCTGGAAGATCCCTGAGGGTGGAGGCGAATTATTTTGCGCAAGGTCAGGGCTGAACACTTCAACTACTTATGTATCCCGCAATTGCGCCATTAACTTGAGCAGTTGAGCAGCCGTCATTGGCAACTTTAGGCGGGTCGACCCTTTGATTTCATGAGGCCCATTGAGTGCCAGCTGCGGCTGTTGGCAGGAGTTGCTGGCAGCACCGTCCGACGAGGCACGGAGTTGGGAAATGGACAGGTCGCGTCGGAGTCGCGTCGCCCGGAAAGGACACAGTTGGCGGAAAGCAGGGTCCCCGCAGTTAGATGCCTCAACTGTCGATTCCCTTTGCACTCTTTTTAGCATGTTCCACAACAGGCATCGCACAAAAACCCCTCGAGTAGAAAGCGGGTCCGGTGGGTGCACGGCGCACCTGCCCGGTGAGAGGTAGAACGCGTCAAGGCCCAAAGCCCTGCCTCGCGGTTCAAGAGGCCAAGTCGACGGTTCGGGTCCTGGGCGCCGGGGTGAAGCTTGAAGAGTTTGTGGGATCCGCGTCAGAGGGGCAAATTGGCCAGGCAACTTCACTCGGGCATGCCTGATGGTCCGATGGTGTTAGAAGTTAGAACACTGTGCATGAGTGGAGCTCTTTTGCTTTTTGTTGAGCACAGACCTAATGAGGAGGCACGCTCATTTGATGCTTGGTGCCAGTAAATGCTCAGTGCAAGCCGGGCTGAAACCGCTTTGGACATGGGATTTAGGCCTTTGCCCATGCATTTGCAGAGCGGTGCTTTCTGGAGTCGCAAGGGACCCGTCGCATTTTCGCGTGCTTTCCGAGGCGCGGGAGTCCGCACTGGCTTCTGCCGACCCAGTGCCGCGGCCCCATGCTGCATGTGAGGGTGTGCCTCACCACGACGCAAGTCGTGGTCAAATCTAAACTACTTGTTTCAAACCATGCGAGGACCTGTAAACATTTGCCAGGGGCTTGACATGGGTTCAAGTTCGCACCGAGTGCCAACTTGCAGTCTAGCATACTGGAGCGCATCCCTTCCTTTTGGCTGCCCTCTCAGTGGCCTAGGAATGATCTCGCGGCCGTGTGTAGTGTTGCTGGGGGTTAGGCCTTTTTGGATGGATGTGGGTCTATTTTGCTAATGGCAATGTCTGTCAAGGGTTACCGCACCAAGGACATGCCGAAGACCCCCAGACTTAAGTCCTTTTCACAGCTTTTGCGGTCCGGAGGAACTTCTTGCGTGGCGTTAGGAGCTCTCCATGCCAAATCGCCCCGAGCTTTCGCATTTTTTCCGGGCAAAAGAAAAATGTGTTACACATTTCCCGGACCTATGTGACAGTTCCAGAGCTGGACGTTCCTTGTGCGATCTCCCGGCCTCGTTTGGCCAATTTAGCCGCCACAAGAGACTCGACTCGCCTAGGGCTTTGAACGCCCTCGGGGAGCAGAAGGAGAAGGAGCTGAAGGCCAAGAAGGAGCTGCGCAAGAAGCAGGAGCCATCCGGCGCCCTTTTCCTGCGCTCGTAGTATCGCGTGGGGCTCGCCGTTGGCTTGAGGAGTCCAACAAATTGCGGGGGAGGGGGGGACAGGGGGAACCTTGGATGAAAAGGGTTTCCCGCGCGGAAAACCAAACACAATAGTGGGAATGGGGTTGTGGGAGTTTTGGGTTACTTGAGAACCAAGCTTAGCCCTGATCATAGCAGTGTTTGAGGGTTGCTTTGCCTGCCTCACCTGGGGTCAAACGAGTTCACCATGAAGGTCCTTTACTTGGACACGTCTTCTTTTAGGTTTTGGACACCTTGTAAAAATCACAGATTTGCGGTCGATTGCCTTTGACAGTGGCCAGCACCCTCTAAAAATCTCTAAAATGAACAGTGGCCCTCTCAACCCCCATGCAAATCCGGGAATTTCAGGGGACCATGATTCCGAGAACCGTCAAATGGCAAAAGGGTAAAGGGCTGCTTCGAGGTCTGAAGACACCCAAGCCTAGGAAAAGCCAATGAACACACTACGGCAGCTTTGCAGATCAGAAAGCCTGAAGTCAGGATAAGGGATTGCAACAGACAGGGAGCCAGGCATGCTCTCTCCGTTTTCGACCCCTCTGCGTTGCGAGCCGAAGTTTCACAACAAGCCGAAGCCTGCATGCATTCCAAGGACGGAGCAATTTGGGGTAATTTCCGGTCTGACCCACCATAAATTTCCGTTTAGACGAACATTGTCTGTGGATGGAGGGTAGTTCAGTAGCACTGGGACCTTGTAAGTTCAAGATCGGGTTAGGCGTGGAAAGTCGCTTGAGTGCAAGAGCACTCCAAAAATCCATGAACAAACGCGACCACATGATGGGGCCAGCAGAGATCCCACACATGGGGTTTTTCAGTGGTTGGTAGATCCCTCTTAGGCTTCGAAGGTGTCCCCAATGTCCCGACAGGAACCCAACCAGTGCCTCTCCCCACGGACACGCCAGAAAGGCTTGAGCATTCCGTCGCTTCCGTGTGCTTGTGCCATGGCTGCGCGAGAGCGCCGGCGTGAGCGCCGCGAGCGCCGCGATGTGGCCGGCGGTGCCCTTCTACCTCTACAACGACCCCATCTTGCTGTATGGTGCCTCATCATCTGTGGGTCAAAATGACTCCACCAGAAAAAAACAAACAAAACGCAGGTTTTAGTATTTGTTTCCATTTACCAGGGTTCCATTTTGGCTACGTATTTGTGACCCGCAGCCATTTTGAAATCAACCAACAAATCATGTGGCAACGGGTTTTCCGGCCAAGCGGGGGGAGTCCTTCGCCAAGCCCTGCCCTTTGCTTTCTGGCCGGCTTTTCCTCTCCAAGTTGACAGCGCCATGTTTTGCACCCGGGTCCCATGCAGGCCCTTGTGCACTTGGCTGGCCCTTGTGCTTTCGTTGGCTGTGAAGTCATGGCACCCCAAGTGGACCTTTGATTTCCGAGCCGAGGACGGGGGACAAAGGACACCACCATAGGCCACTTTCTTCCATGTACCCACGAAGGTACAGCCTGACTCCGGATCCGTGGAAGCCTTCGGCCGGCCCCATGTTAGTTGGAGGGAGGATACTTTGCCATGAGCATTCGGCCACTGTGCCACAAAGCAGTGGTACTTTTTCATCCTTTGCACATGCGCAGCGGGCCTTTCAGCTCAAGCCGGTCACTTGAAACGCAGTGGCCGCCCATTCGTAAGACCTTCCAAACACCGGGGCCCTTAAGAAACATGTCCAGCGATCCGTTGCCCTTCGGGTAAGGAAGCGCCCTTGGCGGATTTGGGGTCAGAAGACTCAGCTCATTCATTGCACCCGAAGCCTCTTTTTGGTGAGTGGGGGGGACCTCATATCGACTCCAAAAAGGAGACCGGGGTTTCCGGGATGGGTATTGGCGGTTGGCGGTGATATGCCACTATAAGGGGTACATACTGCGTCACAAGCAGAAATATTGGTGGCAGATTTAGCTCTATGAGAAAAACAATATTTGGACATGGCCCTGAACTGGGGCTTCCATTTGCTTAAGACTATTTTTTATTTTCCCTGTTGGTTTTAAAGGGAATCTATCACTGCTGGACATATTTTTTTTCCAGGGGTCTTAACCAAATGGAGGGGGGGCATGGGTTGATCAGCTGAGGCCTGATGTACGAATGCCGCTTGCAGGCAAAGTCTCAGGTTCGAGGGCACGGGAAGGATGATTTTCCTTGGGATTCCTTCCGTCACTTTGGGTGGGCCTTTTTCTTGGTAACCCTCTGTTGTGCTTTTTAAAATGGAAGCCAAAATGAAACAATTGCACACCTCCCAGCCTCAGATTCTGCATCAGTGAGGGGTGTATTCCCCAGATGCAAATTGGGACGAGAGAGAGAAAGAGAGAGAGAGGGCGCCTCTCTGGTTCAGAAGGCGCTCAAATTTTCTGGCTGAATGCTGCAGGAAATTTCGAAGGTTGAATTTCTTTTCTATCACGAAGACCACGGGGGATGAACGATCCTACCAATAATGTCCGACTTTCTTTTGCCTACGAGTGAGTTTCGGGAGTGATTCCCAACGGGGTTTGCTCGGATTCATGTGGCCTTGACTGGGCGGCCAACCAATCACCCGGCGATGATTCCCTCTTCCTCTCCCAGACATGTGTTTGAATGCGAGATCCCTAATGTACTCACACCAATACGCAACCCATTTGCGTAAGATTCCACACGATAATCAAGTCACGAGACAAATGGCTCTAGTGAGGTGTGGTGATGCGCCAGTCGTCGAACCAAAGGTTGCTGCTGACAATTCCAAACCTGCCAGAAGTGAATTCAGTGCGAGCTAAAATTAGAGGATGCTTGCAGCCTTGCGATCAAACTTCTAAGTTCTCCTTTCCTCATGGAGCACGTGCACGATTTCCAACAAAATGCCACAACCTCCTTGTGAGGTGCTCAGTCCCCGATCCAGCGTTTATTAATCAAGCTCTTTTTTTTGGGGGGGGGGCGCGATCCGCACTCCGCAAGGGCCGCAGCGAGACTTTTTTTCGTTTCTTTGGTGGCAGGGGGCCCTCCAATGGCTTTTTATCGAAGTGCCCTCCACAGTCAAGCTGGGGAAATCATCTAAGAAGCTGCTTTGGCCCCTTTCAGCAGTGACCAAGAGCGAATGAATGAGCAGCTTGGAATTTGTGATGGTCAAAACGTTGCCTCATGCATCCTGCCACCTTTTGCCAAACACCCCACCTCCAGCTTTGGGGCCAATTTTGTATGTTGTTTTACTGTTCCCAGGGTGTGGGGTGCCCAAAAAAGGGGATTTGCTGCGGGGCTAGGGCAGCAAAGTCGACACATGGAAGGCATGAGCCACGTCTTTCAACACGTGCTTTGACTCTCGGCTTGTTCTTCTTTTGGCGGGGATTCCGCACGGGAAATTCCGCGCATCAATTGTCGAAATAGGGCATGCGCCTGGAATTCATGGTTGATTCCTTATTCCAAAGCTCAGGGAGCGCGTTGAACGGCTTCCAATAGAGAGGTTCCAGCTTGCACCAAGGGCAATCATGCACGTGGCATCCCAGAACGCATAGGGGTCACCCTAGAAACATGGCCATTAGCGCTTGAGGCATGCGGTCCAGGCAGAACGAGCTGGAGAGCCGTCAGAGGTGGACGATGCCCTACTTTGACTTGAGAAGCTCGGCTTCTGTGCAAGATGGGTTGGGTCCACTCGGAACCCGAGCTATTTATTGTTTGATGTTCCTTCTTTCTGGCATCTTGGAGCTGCGCTTTGCTTTTTGTAATTGGGGGGCTTTATGCATTGTTATGCTGTATTTAGTTTTGCATTTGCTTGCCTGCTTGCATGCTTGCATGCTTGCTTGCGTGCGTGCATGCTTGCTTGCTTACTTTTGCTGATGGTTGTTTTGCCTCTGCTGCATCGCTTTCCGTTGCGGCCATCAAACCATACGCCATATTTGCTTGCAGGAGGGCCATGTGAACTCCTTGTTTCTCATGCGTCCGGGTGCGGAAGCCAACGCTTCCTTGCCCGAGCGCTCGGAGGGTACAACGCCTCCCTGGGCACGGTCCACGAGTTTGCCGCCGCCAAGTACTTCGCGCGGCTGATGATGACCCACCCCTGGCGCACCATGGATCCTGCGCAGGCGGAGGTCTTCATCGTGCCGCCCCTGGCCGAATTTGGCTGTGGCAAGGGGCTTGTTTCCCATCTTGGTGGTCCCTGGGGCTTGGTCCCTCGATCAGAGGCAACTTGAGGTTTAGATGGGTTCGCATCAAGGGCCAGTCCGAATTGTAGACTGCGGGGCGCCAGCCGCCTGGTTGCTTCTTTTTCCGGGCAAGGCTCCGAGAGGGAGGTGGGGTGGGGCGTCAGGTCGTGGAACCATCCCCGGAAGACTCTTGGCAACCTCTCCCAAGGACAGATGTGGAGCCCGTCTTCCTGGAGCCGGACGGCCCCTGCGGCGTGGACAAATACGAGGGCCACCTCTGGGAGACCTTGAGGGAGGTGTGCCTCGGCTCGAGTTTTCGGCGGGCTGAGGTGAGGTGCCAAACCGGAGTTGCCCAGGACGTTCGAATCCAGGGACCCTGCTGGTGTTTTTTGTTTGTTTGTTCTTGTTTGTTGCGAGTGGTGTGGAAAAAGCAAGACCAAATAAAGGCGCATACACAAAGAGGCAACTGTTTTAGTCGTTGAACGTTTTGTCGTGGTGTGCATGCCTCTTCTTTCTTGAGACGTTAGGGCAGGTGAGGCGGAGTGAGGGTAGAGCAGCGCGCGGGGCTCCTTTTGCGTCCTTTTGCGGGGGCGCCCCCTTTCTCATGAGCCGCAGTCAAAAAACTCGGGTAAGTAAATGGTTAGAAAGGAACAGTCCTACCATGACTAGGTGCGGGAATCAACCCTTGTGGACAATTTGCATGCTTCTCCTCATTATTTGAGCGGCTTGTCTGCTCATATGGAGCCGAGCCAAGGGAGTCGGTTTGGTTTGGTTCTCCCCGATGTTCTGTGACGACCACTGCAGAGTAGTAAGGCTTGAGCTCCCTATCCAGGTGCATCCAGAGGTTCCGCAAAGTGCGCGGACTCACGGCCTCGGAGCCCCTTCGGGCAGCTAGCCTCGCCCGCGCAAAAAGCGGCGAGCCGTCAGCTCGAGGCGTTGTTCGATCCTCGTCAGGTTCGAGCAGCCGTACATCCGCGCCAAGAACGGCGCGGACCATTTCTGGATGATGTCCGCCAATGACCCCGAGCGGCTCATTGAGAAGTACGCCCCCTTTGTAGCCCAGGAGCTCCGCCGCGTGCGCCTCTGCGGAAAGTTTTTTTTTTTTTTAGCGGAAGTTGGACTACAGGGGGCCTGGAATTCCATTTCTGGTCACTTTCCTTTTTGTGGGAAGACCTGCAACATCGCAGGGGTCTTTCCCCCACTCCAAGATAAGTCGATCAGCCGATCAAGAGCCGGGAGCAAGGCCCACTTTCGGAAAGGCCGCACTTTGCGGGAGTGCGACCTGTCAATTCGCCATGGACAGAGCCAAGTCCAGATGAAATGGGCTCAAAGAGCCCAATTTGGCGAGGCCATTTAGTTTAGTCCAAGCCCGTCTTGTTTTCTGCGGTCCCCGGACCGCATGGTTTGGGCAAGGAACCACTTGCACTTCCTGGTGGTGGGAGTCATGGAGCTTTTCCCCGGCCGCTCGCTGATGGCTCTGCCGGCCGAAAACCAGCGGGAGGTCTACGTGCTGAACGGCACGCGGAGGAGCGTCGTGCGCCCGCGTCGTCGCACTCCGCAAGATGCTTCCGTTTTTGCGGTTGATTCTAGGGGGAGTACCTTGACTTGAAATCCCTTATTTCAGGGGTTTGCACATTTGAGCGAAATGCAAATGTTTAAGCACGCCTTCCTTGCATAAACGCAGCGATTTGCCCCAAGACCCCTGGTGCCCCCGAATTTCATAGCTGATATCTGTAGCTGTTTTTTCTTTCCCACGGCTACTTGCAAGTTTGCTGGTTTTCAATCAAGACTGATCTTGGCGCTTCCCAGCCGTCCCCTTAGGTTTTTAAGTGAAAAGTTAAAAACTTTCTGAGCATCCCAGTGAAAGGTGCCAGGTGCCGCCTGGTGCTTTGGATTGGACGGGATTTCATCCCCACTGCCTCTTGAAACCAACTGGGCGAATCCTTGCGGCACCCTCTTAGAGCGCGTAGCGTAACCCTCGGCGTTAATGCATCCTAGCAACTTGGGCGTGCGAGTAGCTCAATTAGGTACCCTCCCTCAGAGAATCATAGAAGCTGACAGGAGAGCTTTGGCTTTGGACAACTTTTCATCGGAAGCTTTTTGTCCACTTCCATGATTCGTGGCAAGAGGGTAGGTTGCAACTACGGAAGTTAGGACGTCAAGCACCAGTTATAACCAGTGGCTTCATTATTCTGCCAGTATCAAAGCTACTCTTCCAAGTAGGTCACAGGGAGCCCACCAATTCCTTAACCAACAGGACCAGCACTTGACCCAAAGAGTCACCATGCTTAGAACCACTTCATGATTTTTGGTTCGAGGCTTTTCTTTCTTTAAAAAAGAAGAAGAAAAGAAGAAAATAACAAACACGGTTATAAGGAGGTCAACCACCAGTAAGCATGGATAGAACCACTTGCCGTGTTTTTTGGCGCTTAGGAGCCGCGCCTGGCGCTGCTCGCTTCCGGTGCCCTTTGCTCCTTGGTTGCTGTGGCCAGTGGGGCGGAGGGCGTTTTTTTTGGGCCGATAAAAGAAGCGGGGGGGACAGGAGCGGAGAGGGCGAGACCGAAAGACGTAGGCAAGCCCCGGTTCGGCCAACCCACCTCACGCACGTTGCCGAGAATTTTTGGTCCAGGCAAGCAATCAGCGCTGCAAGATTGACAGAAGGCTAGTTGTTCTCAAGAACCCTCAGTGGCCGAGAAGAAGTCTGCCATGGCGAGGTTGATTATGGTGCGGCAGCTCTCTGGGGCAGATGAGGCATTCGAAATTCTGCCCGACATGACTCTTCGAGAGTTCAAGAGGCAGCTGCGAAGTTGGCTGCCCTGCGCAGATGAATCAAAGCGCAGCATGAGCTGCGTGGAGGTGGTTGCTGGAGACACGCCTTTGATGAACAATGATGAAACGGTGTCGGAAGCAATTCCAGGTACGGAAGTTCTAGCTTTCCTCAGTGTCAAGCCAGTGACGTGCGGCAGCTTCTCAACATCCGGATGCGATCCCGACGATTTTCGCGTAGTGGAAATTCCAGGAGGCGTGACTGAGATTGGGAGTGGTGCCTTCGAAGGTTGCAGCTTGTTGGTAAGTGCAACCATCCCAGAGTCCATGACTGCGATCCTAAGTTTTGCCTTTTCACGGTGCAGCTCACTGGCAAGCCTGACATTGCCTAGCTCAGTGACTGTGATAGGTGTTGGTGCCTTCCAAGGTTGCAGCTCGTTGGCAAACGTTATCATTCCGGACTCTGTGACTGTCATCGGAGACGCTGCCTTCGCCGGTTGCAGCTTGTTGGCAAGCGTGACCATCCCCGACTCTGTTACCATGATTGGACGGGATGCCTTCCAGGGTTGCCGCTCATTGACAAGCGTTGCCATCCCCAACTCTGTCGGTAAGATTGCGGAGAGTTCCTTCTCAGGTTGCAGCTCCTTGACCAGCGTGACCATCTCAAACTCCGTGACTGTGCTTGGAGATTATGCTTTCTGGGGGTGCAGCTCATTGGAAACCGTGTCCATCCCCAGTTCCGTCACTCGAATTGGTTGCGGGGTCTTCGCCTTTTGCAGCTTGTTGGAACACGTGACCATCTGCGACTCTGTCACCAGGATCGGAGAAGCTGCTTTCGAAGGCTGTAGCTACGTGTTGCCAGGGCCACTACATCACAAAGTGCGATAGGAGTCTTTGACGGGACCTCGGGCATGGCTTTTGACTAACAAATCTCGCAGTTTCACCCCAGTGCGCTCCTGTGAGCGGGCAGCGCATGTTTGGTGGGATCTGGGATGGTCAGAGATAGGCAGCTTCGGACATGGGAACGTTTGTCCGAGCTGCAGCGCGCCCTTGCTTTAGAAGAGCAAAGGAAGGGTGATATGAACTGTCAATATTCAACATCGCTTACTGCAGCAAGGTGGATGACACGCGCCAGGCCAGCGGTTCATTTTGGGAGCATGCGTGTGTTTTTGGTCTGGGGTGGACAAAATGAGGGGTGGGGCATCGCACAGCGTTGAAAACTAGAGCGGCGGGTGGCCCCCAAGGATTTTTGCTCTTCAAACTTGTGTCCCAAGTTGTCTTCAAGTTAACCCAAGCCATCCGCTAAAGCATTTTTGAGAAGCGTGGAAAGACATGCGAGAACTGACACAGGCGTCGTCCGTGGGAATTTTCCGCCTTCGGGTTGCCACTTTGCCGCTTGTGCAACGATTGCCCCTTCGGCGGGGCCCTGGCGCCGCCCAAGTTGCGCCTCTCAAAAGGAGATGCCACAAGTGAGCCCGCAATTTGACGCCCATTCCCTCCTATTCTTGCGAAACGGTGCCGGATGGCGGCACCGGTTCCTGGGAAACATGGGCGCCGGGCCACGAGTCGCGGCCCAGAGGTCCACAGCTTCCCCTTCTCAGAGCACGGTGTCGCCTTCAGCTCCTTTGAGGCTTGGGAAGTTGCCCCTGGAGCCGGAATTGCCAGGGTCTCCCGCTTCTTAAACGCACACCCTATCTATAATTAATATGCATTGTTTTAATATATCTACATATCTATGTACTTCATTGTAGACCAGCAGATATGAACGTATTTCGACTATTTTCTTTTTGGGTGCACTCCTGGAGAGAGGCCAAGATCGGAGTGGATGGGCGTGATTTCTGCTTGGCATCTCCAGCTTTTGGCTTTTAGGAGGGGATCAAAGAACCACAAAGGGGCAGGTTAGAAACCACCTTCACCAGCGTTCCTACTGGTTTGGGCCATTTTAGTGGCAGCTTGTCTCAACCCTGGGGGTTGTGAGACAATGGGACCCACACAGGAGTTTTCACCATACATGCAGATGTGTGATGAACGTTTGTTGCTGGCTGGATGGTCCCAGGGGCGTGAGCAACATGTCCAAGGCGACCAGAAAGACGCAAGGGACAGGGCTCCTTATATCTTCCCTTGGCCCATCAGACCAGCATGTGTTTTGGGCCTGAAAGGTGATCACTAAAACCACCAGCAGGCGAAATAAAGGGAGTTGCAGTTGAGGTTTCTTTCAGGATGTAAAGGAACCTCATGGAAGGAAAGCCAGCAGATCCAGCAGCCGCAGAAGTGACACACCGTTTGCGGAAACTTCGTTTCTGAGACTGCGCACTTCCATGTTTGCTGGTGAAAGGGAACTTTACATTTCTAGCAGAAGGAGCCAGAGCACCGGCTTCAACCAAACAGCCCAACCCATATTGGCTTGGAACTAAGCGCATGAAGAAACCTTGGCGCAGGTGTGGATGCGGAGGGAGTACATCTTCTACCACCAGCTGCTCAGATACTAAGTCGGTGTGGTCGTGTCCATGTCACGGTGAACTAAACGTTTGCTGTCATACAGAGGTTTCTCCAATATTTGTGTGTGTGTGCGCGCGCGCGTGTGTGTGTGTGTGGGTGGGTGGGTGGGTGGGTGGGTGGGTGGGTGGGTGGGTGGGTGTGTGTGTGTGTGGGTGTGTGGTTGGCTTCCTTTTGGCTTTGGTTTAAAGTACCGGCCAACCAAAAGGGGGTCCACCATCTTGAGAAACACAGATGCTGTGGATGAACGAACTCCTGCAAGACCTAAGAATCCGGTTTCCCATAGTTTGGTTTGTGGCAGTGCGAACGGTTTTTGTCCATCCCAGTATGTTACTGCTGGGGTCTTACCCTCCAAAAGGTGCGGGGCCGCCTTGGGGTCCTGCACGATCCCAAGCCATGGCCATGCTAGGCATGGACCAGCTCGTGGCGTTTCGCGAGGAGTCGCGGAACAGTAGGCCTTCGCAGCTCCCCAAATCACGAGCCACGACATTGCGGCCAATGGCATTTGGAGTAGTTAAGTAGTTCCGCCAGTGCTTGGGTCTTCAACCCGCTCAGTAAGTAGGGTAGCACCATGGCTAGCAGCGAACGAACCCCAGCAAACCCGGTTGCAACCTTAGGTATAACCTAATTACTTGCTAAGTGAGCTGAAGACCCAAGAAGGTTCTCTGGCTTCTACCAAGACGAGCGGTCCAGGCAGCTGCGGGGGCAGGCTGCGCGCGTCGATGGTTGTGAGGCAGATAGCTTGCGCATGCCATTGGTCAGAAGTTGCTTGCAGATTACGAGGGCCAACGGAAGCGTCCTCCAAGCTTCTTCCCCCCCCCGAATTGGGCCGGATGTACCAGTACAGTTTGTTTTCCCAAGTACCCCACAAAGCATTCTAGTCATTCTGAGTAGCTCAACTGCGAAGCTCCAAACCCTGCCAGGAGCGACATTCGGACCACCACCCCTCCCGCCTCCCCCAGTCTGTGGGACCCTTCAGTCAGGACCTTCCTGCTGAATGATGTCATTTTGACCCATACCCTTATCCCATACCTGAATCCAAAATGTGGCACCCTTCCACTCCACCGGGTCTTCCAACCCCCCCCAATGCTCCTTGTGTTTCAAAACCCGCCAGGAGGCGAAGTCTGGCCGAGTCACCGCCCAAAAATCGGCGCATCTCACGCCAGGCGTTGAAGATCCCACAGGCGGCCGCAGACCCTCGCCGCGTGTGGGTGGGGGACCGCTTCGTGAGCAGCCCCACGGCTTCTTGGGGGCGCTGGCACACCGAAAGATCCGCTCTGGGGTCTTCTTGTTTTTTTTTGGTGTGTGTGTGTGTTTTTTGGGAGGGGGGGGGGGGGTAGGTTAAACACACACTCAACAATCCTGTTCTGGGGTCTCCAAACACAATTTACTGTTTTTTGGGGTGCTGTAGGTTAAATATGGAAGAGAGTCAGACACTATTTGTTCCGTGCAGCCCAGATGTGGGCCAAATGTTGTGTAGTTGGGTGAGGGATGGCAGTAGCTCCTCCCACATAAAGGGAATTGTGCCATCAAGTTTCACCCAGTTGCAACCTTGTTTTGTTGCTGGAAATGTTGGTTTTATGGGTGCTTTGTGGTAAGGCAAGCCTAGGGTCCCTTTGTGGTTTTTTGTCTGGGGAAGGATTGGCCAACCGAGGTGAGGAGTTGGCGCGGGGCTTCCGCAGCAGCCGCTTTTGCTTGGCCATCGCCGGGCGGAAGCTTGGGCTTTCGGTTTCGGCTTTGGCGGAAGTTGGGAGGTTTCTGGGGCTCTCCTTGGTGCTCACTTGCTGTGGATGGACGAAATCCATGTCGTCCCCCTCTCCTATTTGAGAAACAACGGAAGACCATTTGTTGGAATTTACAAGGGAAGCATCAGAACCGGGGTTTCTCAGGTGGTGCAGGATTTCGTCCATCCACAGTATGTTCCTTTTGTGTGGCGAGTGTTTGACCTCAAGCCAAAGGGACTAACATGGTAACTGGCAGGGGGTCGCTTGAATAAGAGGATAATCTTTTTCCCGGTCCCTGGTACCCTCCCGCAGGTGCTATGTTCGTGGGAAAGGGGGTAATCGGT